GCCAGCAAAACTATCACCTGCCTGGGTGAGTGTTAACAACAACAGCAGTGTACTATCGATCAACCTTGTCTACAGCTAGTAGTTAGATTTTCTCTTACTGTGTACAGCAAACACTCAACCGTCTTCTCTGCCTTTCCCCTTGTAGATGACAACGATCCGTGTGAGAAATTTATCTGCGAGTGTGACAGGAATGCAGCCTTGTGCTTCAGTGAGGCTGGTTACAGTGAAGAAAATGCTGACATCCCGAGTGACCGCTGCCAGTGAGCTGAAGAGGGCATCATCATTTGAAAAAATAAAACATCAGTAAATGAATAGAAGTGCTATTGTTTCCATAGCTATTTATTTATTGTCCAAGAAAAGACTTAAAGACATACATGCACGTTTCATCTATTTCTGTGACACATCAGCATCAGTAACATCTTTTCCATCATTCTGGACTCCTGCCTGCCATGCAGGGTTGGCCTTGCTGGCGAGGGAGGGGCGGGGTTGTCATCTCAGGGCGTTCCCCTGTTCCTCATGCCCTTTTCTCACAGATGTAGCGATACGTGATGTTACAGTCGGCATCATTCCACAACCTGCGTTCACGTCTTTCAGGCGGATGAAGCTGCCCGCAGTCCTCTCCATTCTCTCTGTATTCCCAGTTGTCTGGCTGACCTTCATCCCAGAAACTGAACACAATTAGAAGAGGGAGGAGAAATAATGATGCCACACACAGTGGTGACTTCCTTCTGCCTCGATTTGTTCCTCCCACTCATCTGTCTTTACTTTTTTTTGTTACATTTCTCTTACGTTGGGGTTGACCTGTAGTCAGTTCCGTCCACCCAGCTCCACTGTCCCTCGTGATGTCGTTCCACGAGTCCGATCCAATAGATATACTTGATTGGAACAATTCTGGAAATGTAGTCCTAGAAGTGATTAAAAAAAACCCTTTGTTTAAGACTATGTGTGCTTCTTAACTGGCATGTTCACAGCAAGCTGATGTGATAAGGAGCTCACCAATTCCTCCGCAGTGTTCAGAACCAGCAGGTGTCCTCCGTGTGCTTTGCACTGCTCCTCTGCTTTGCTCCAGGTTATACTGGTGATGGATACCAGGTAACAGCTACTCTGGTAAGACACCCAGCCTTCACTGCATGTTCCTATTATGATAACGATTAGCATATGTTGACTGTAAAAAGAAATAAAATCTGATATAAATGATTTAAAAGCATGCAGTTTAATACCTCTAACTGGGGTGAGCTCCTCTAAGGCGTCACTGTGAACTGTCATCTCGCCTTAAATGTGGAAAACCACAAAATGACAGCGCAAGATTGTGAAGAGGACTAAAAGGTTTATGTGTGCACATATTCAAACCAGATATCATTTTGTTTTTTAACCTGAACTGAGAGCTGATGTTGTTCCTCCATGGTTCGTTTTCCCAAGATACTGTTTGAGATCTGTGATTTCCCTGCTTAACTGTGAAACTTTAAGATAAAGGAATGATAGAAAGAAAAAGGTTAGATTCTTTTACAGTTATATAATAATATATGAATGAACCAGCTTTACTTGACTGTGGTCACTGTGGACTATAGTCGTACATTTGATCCCAGTTACCAGCAGCAGAATCAACAACAGCAGCACCAGCAGGCCATAGAGCACAAAAATCACAATCCTCTTCATACCTACAAACAGTAACCAACCAAATCACTGGAAACTACTGGAAACTACTTGACTAAAATGAAATGACGTAAAAATGTTACCTGTCTTTGCGGTGTTTTCATGGACAGAGCTTCTATCCAAAGATCCAACCTGGTGATACTGAAGCTCCATTGCTGAAAGAAATCAGCTGATGCAAATGTGTGCATAAGTACTTAAAGCGCAGTTACCAGGATTCAGTCTAGAGACATGATCAGACTACAAGAGGTTAACCAAATGGTTCTTGTTTGTTTTTAGGCCTCATATTATGTTAACTATTAATGGTTCAATAAATAGACGCTGGTCTTTTAATAGTCTAAAAGCAAACACTTTCAAAGGTGTACAGCTAAAATTTGAGTTATTGTAAATTTAAATTATGTAAATACTTGTTGTATTTATTGATATTTAGATGATTACATTTATAACCCCCTGTGTCGTGCACTAGTCTAAACCTGCAAAGCCATATCAAGAGCAAACAATCCCGACCAATAAAACTTATCACTCACCTTGATCAGCCAGAGTATCTGCGTATCTGGACTCTGAGCATGCAACCCCACAAAATCCTCCCCTGTTTAAAGAGAAACACATTCCAGGCACAGGAGACGTTCATAATGTGTTATAGTTATTTAAGGTTTATGAATCATTCTCTTGGGGTGAAGTTGAGAGAATTTAGGGGCTGTAACAAAAAAAAATGAAAGTCAAAAAAAAAACTAGCTACAGTGGTGTTGGGGATCTAGTCAAATTTGAGTGAATTATAAACACAGAAAAGTACAATCAGATTTTGATCCACCATGCAATACCATGTGGAAAGGATCCCAAACATTACTGGAGCAGCGTGACAGACTACTTAAAGAAATTAGAAGAAAGCTTGCTTAATGAAGAGGAAGAATGAAGAATGAAGAATAGAGGTGACTTTCAGGATCATTAGAAATATTTTTTTCCCTCCATATAAACTGTATTGCATGCTACATAAATTGCTGCACATAGACTGCTGGGGGACTCCCATGATGCATTGAGTTTTTCCTTTCCTTTCACCTTTCTCACTCACTATGTATTAATAGACCTCTCTGCATTGAATCACACTTGTTATTAATCTCTGTCTCTCTTCCACAGCATGTCTTTATCCTGTCTTCCTTCTCTCACCCCAACCGGTCGCAGCAGATGGCCCCGCCCCTCCCTGAGCCTGGTTCTGCTGGAGGTTTCTTCCTGTTAAAAGGGAGTTTTTCCTTCCCACTGTCGCCAAAGTGCTTGCTCATAGGGGGTCATTTGATTGTTGAATTTTTCTCTGTATGTATTATTGTAGCGCCTTGAGGCGACTGTTGTTGTGATTTGGCGCTATATAAATAAAATTGAATTGATTTGAGTTTTGCATTCAATATACAATATACAGAAACTGAGGGGAGGCTGAACTAAATTAAATATAACAATATTTTACAAAGTTACAAAATATGAGAAATACCTTTAATAAATACAAATAGCCCAATTATAAATATTCAGGATATTATAGGGATTAAATATATACGAATGATACATATAGAAAACAGATCACGGTTACAGCTGTGTTGTTTTAATGTGAAATGCAGGCTGCAGTTCTCCATCTCGCCGCTTGGTGACACAGCAGAGCTCACAGTTGTCCGGCCTTTACGTCACGCATGTGTACAAACCTCTTCCGGTCTATTCGTCAGCCAGAAAGCAAAATGGCGGCCTTTGGACGTTTCTCTCAAGTGTTGCTGAGGTCTTCTTTGACCCAAACCCGGCGTCAGCTCTCTGCCGCTGCCGGACACGGCGAGCAGTCAGGTAATTATAACGGTCTATTTTACACAAGTGGTTGCATTTAATTTGTTTTGCCTTTAAGACGACCTGTTATGTTAGATCCAGTGACCTTGCTGAGCTAGCTAGCATTAGCAGTAGCAATGCATCCTTGAGAGGAGAGCACGTAGTCGCTGCCCCCCGAAACTTGTGATTTTCTTGCATTTGTTGTTGTCTGTGTCTCACAGCAGCGCAGTCTGTTAGTTAATATGATTTAAAAGTGGAGCAGTGTGACGAACAGCATGTCTTACGAGCTAAAGTGCAACAAAAGATGAAAGGATAGTCACAAAGACACCTGATAATTGTTATGACCGACAGCTTGTAAAGGAAGTATTTATTTCAACACGAGAAAGGCGGACCAGTGTTAAGATAAAGAGAGGATAGGCATGCGTTTTGAGCAGGAAGGAAAAGGACAGCTTTGAACTGAATTGACTTGAGTTGAATAATTGTGGAGATACAAGGAAGTTGAACTGTTCTTGTATAAATGCACAGTTAATTTTGCATTTCGCATTGACAGTCTTTTAAAAGAGAGACTTTAAACCGTGTCTAACTATTCACTAAGTGAGGTCATATCTTACAGAGTCTTATCAGAAATCTTACAGCTGAAAGTAACAACATGCATCCAGTGGGGCCTTTTTATATGGTGTATTTTTGGACCAGATTTGAATGTAACTGTCTTTTAGTGAGTTAAACTGGTTGTATTTCTTGGATTTAGTTTTGGTCAAGGTCGACTGTCTCAGGGGCGTTCATATGATCTAACAGTGTCAGATGTCAGCACATTGTTATCGTTTTACTTCTCTTTCGCTCTTCTTTCTATTGTTACTTGTTAGTTAAATAATTCTGATTTCTTATCCCCAGGTAAGACCTGGAAGATCCTCACCTTCGTGGTTGCCCTTCCAGGTGTTGGAGTTTGCATGTTGAACACATTCTTGAAGGAGCAGCACCACAGCCATGAGCAACCAGAGTTTGTCCCCTACACCCATCTCCGCATTCGCAGCAAGGTCTGACTTCATGAGACTTGTAATTTTAAGTGCTGCCTTTAAAAAAACAACAACATTATTTTTGACTTAATTATGTTTTTCTTATGCTTCCTCTCCCATTAGCGTTTCCCCTGGGGTGATGGCAACAAAAGTCTTTTCCACAACCCACATGTGAATCCTCTTCCTGATGGCTATGAGGGACATGAGTAAAAAACAAACCTCCAGATGTCACAGATGGGATCAGTCCTTGTTAAGCAGTTGTTATTGGACCACACTCCTATTCACAGTTTACTTTTTCCTCTTTAATCGTTTTACCTCTGTGCTCTTAACACAGGGCACCTGAACCAATAGCTCCTTTGTTCTGGACCATTATACAAAATGTCTGACTTAACATAAATAAAGTAACTTCTATTACCTCACTTCATGTTTCTTGTATGTATCCATGCAGTTTGACCCATTTTATTTCCAGTTAGAAAATAACTAGAATTACCCAGTTGGACTGTTGTTTGTTTACCCTGTACATGTCCTTGGCAGTTCTAATGCCCTGCTTTGGGTTTGCTCTGGCACTGGAATACTGCACCTTGTCCTTTGGTCTGTAGGTGCTGTTACAGACTCTGAGGAGCTGCACGTCACTCATCCTGGCTGGGGAAAAGCTGGCGGTATTTTGCGACAATAATGTTGCCAGTGCAAAAAGTGAAATAGAACAGCCCAGTCTCAGTATGTTCCTCTACATTCTTGCTCTCAAACAGTGACCAGTCGGTATCCATGAAACAGTCCTGTCACAGAGACGGCCTGTTCTGGCCAGATTTTAACCTTTTTTGTGAGAGGTTTGGATCCAATTTCTAATTACTAACAGCAGTTTTATTGAAAAGGCATACAAAGCACAGGAGTTACAGTTTGTAAATAATTATCATTCTTCAATATAAAGCTACTCTCATCGGCTGCCTTAGTCACGACAGGTAGCAGAGCATGTTGATTTCATGGTCACGTGAATCACTACACTATGCAGCCATCATTGTTTAATATCGTTTTTTTTTTCTTTTAGATCATACACAAAATCTTAATAGACCCTGTTCATAGCAGACACTGAGAAGTCCTAATAGAGGAGCTGACAGTAACGAGTGTTCTTTCCCCAGTAAAAGCTTTGTGATGTCTTGCTGAGGGAGTGCCTGCAACTCCAGCGCTGAAGCAGCTCTTGTGTCTTCCTCTGTTACACATAAAAGAAAAAACCCTTTTCTTTGTCTCACTCAGTAAAATCTGGGTCAGGCTTGTGCCCGTTCAGTCTGTGGCCAAACCCGACATGACTCCTACGTTTTCCACAGGTCACCAGTGTCTATAAACCAGCTCCGTAAGCTTGTCCCGACCCAACAACCATTAACGTTATCAGTGATGATGTGATGATTCGCGCACGTGACTCGCTCTTTGTTACAGACTCCACCTCTTTCACGTGAACGCGCTTTAAGCCGAATTAGAAAATCCAGGGTTAACAAAGCTCGCTGATAGACAGCTCAATGACACCGTTTACCTTTGCCCGCTTCTGGTTTTTTCGAGGCTAACTGATGATGGGACTCGTGCCGTAACTAACCGTGGCATCGATCAAGCTCGGCTTTACTCCGTCTCGCGACCGCGGGTTACGATTTGATTACTAAATCTAGCATTGAAACATCTCGGATAACTGCGCGTCCCCGCTCCTCCACAAAGGGAAGATCAGTCGCACGCAGAAACCCGGATCGAAATCCATGAACGCAGACGGAGGTGAGGAGACTTTGTGCAAGATCACATAAACTGTAACAAAAAACCCCAAAAAACAATCAAAACCAACAACAATCATCACGTGGTTTTTGACTCTCATTCATGTACATTTATAGTACATTTATATTTCTGTGTTATTTTAAAACAGATTTTCAGATAATGAGGAAACAGGAGAGGGCGCATTTTTTCAGCTCCAAAGAGCAGGAGCTCATTCTGAAGTTGTATGAAGAGGAGAGAGAGATACTAACAGCTAAATCCAACACCACCAGTGCCTCTAAACTCAGAGAGGAAGCCTGGCAGAGAATTGCTGATAAAATAAATGCGTAAGGACATTTATTCACTCGTGTGAGTGTGATTGACCTATATTCAAATTATTGAATATAGACCCTACTGACACATCATCTTTATTTTTCCTGCTTCACAGGGTCTCAGACAGTGGCTACAAAAGGACATGGCAGCAAGTAAAAGTCAAACACAAGAACATTGTGCAAACAGGTGCAAGCACTTTGTCTTAGTTTTGATCTCAGCGAGTCAGCAGTTGCTTCGTAAAAGAGGTTTTTCTTTGTGGTTTTCTGCAAATCAATAAGTCTAAATGAATGAGTTTATGATCTTTGAGCTTATGAACTCTCCGCATCATTAAAATGCTTTATGCACATACATGCACTAGCATGACGGAGCTGTATAACATTCAGTGTTTCTCTTCCTGCACTGGCTCAGAGTCGGTAACGTCCAGGTGTGTTACGTACCTGTCAAATCTGTCCCTGTGCAGCAAAAAGGAAAAGGGTTGCAATGATGAGAAACGAGGGCGGCTCGGCGACCCCGTCTCTGAACTCGGGTGAGGACGACGTGCTGCATCACAAAGACAACGGGCTGAGGGTGGAGGTTCTCCCTGGAGGCGCCTGTATTGACCCAGCAGCTGTGTCTGACAGCTCTTTCATGAGCGGTAGGTGAAATTCACGAGCATCCCTGCAAAAGTTTCCACATTGGCTTATTTAAATGTTTCTTCGCCGCTGCAGTGTCGGGCCACCCTGTCCTGCTGCTGCCCATAACAAAGACTGAACCAGAGAGCCTCAGCAGCGACGAGACGGACATTAGTGACACTCAGTTTGAGGGGGTGAGTACTGCTGCGCATGCATCTCCTGGAGCTTTTGCTTTTGCCACGCTTGGCGTGAAGACTGGATTGCTCTTTTTAACAGGACGTTCACGGCAGCAGCTTGCAGGAGGGCGCTAACGCGGCTGGGGCTACAGCTGGTGGCAGAAGTGGAGAGGTGAGGTCCATTTGTCACAGCTGTCCTGTGCTAATGAGAAGAAACGAATGTAACAAGAGCGCATGTTTTGTGTAATCTGATTCACAGAAGCAGACAGAAAACCTCAGGTCTCTCTACTGCTCCTACCTCAAGAAGGAGATTGAGAACCGGGACCAAGAGATGGCTTACAGAGCACTTAAAATGAGGAAGCTGGAGAAAGAAATCTTATTACTTGACAAGCAGCTGATGTGATTGCAAGAAAAAAACAAAAGTACTTTTATCCTTTTATGTGGAAAAACAAGAATTTGTTGAAATGACATGTTGCCTTTTACCCCGGCACGCTCACAGAGGTGTGTTTAGGTTGTAGTTGGCTGCAGCTGTAGGCAGCATAATCTCTTACATGCTGGTCAGGGTTGTAATGATACATGTCATTACCCTTTTTTTTTGCAGTATTGCATCACACAATTTATGCAACGGTGCTGATGCTGCCGTACACCGATTCTCAGACCACGAGAGTGTTTAAAGCGCACTGATGGAAGGCAGCATGGCTGCTTGAGGGTTCACAGTAGCATGTAAGTGGAGCCTGTGAGAGCACCATGTTCACTGTACTCTACCACAGCAGGTTTAAATGAATGGATGCAACAACAGATGGCTTTAATGTCAGAAGAGACTTTTAGGATGTATTTATATGTATTTGTGACAACTGGTCCAAATCTTATGCTTAAAATTTTAAATTGAAATTCTCAAGCTCCTTGGAAAACATCCTGAGGTCCAGGAAAGATGTGACAGAGAGTTCTTGCTGATCCACTTTTATTAACCTTTCTCTGAAGTCACATTAATGGATGCCGTTGCTAAGCAGATGCAGCTAATGCAGTCGGTGTTCCACCAGAACCCTCGTTCTGTTTTGATGATTTTATTCTGGCCAGTTGTGGTTATTTATAGAGATACTTCATTAAACCACACAGTGTCTCACACAAGGAGACATCTTCATGACATGACAGATTTGTAACAGTTCATCATTTTCTTGCGGTTGCCTAAACGAAGCTCAGCGCGGGAGATTATGTGATGACTTGCGTCATTTCTCAGTCATGTTGGTTTTTTTAAATACAGGACGCTCCAGCCTATCCTCTGCTAAAGGATAGGAAGCATCTGAGCATCTTTAGCGTCCAAGGAATTTCACCAGCTCTTATCATGGCTGCCATGCAGATACATCTGAGTCACTTTGCTCAGTTGGAAACCTTCTACAGCAAAGTTGACTCTTTGTTTTTAATCACCAGCACGCAGAAAATTGGTGCTAACTGTTCTGTCACTGCTGGAGGCCTCCTAATAAACAGGCCGCTGGGTCACGTGATTTTCAAACGCATAAACTTCGCAGTTTATAAGAATCGTTGTCTGCTCTTTGTCTATGAACAGCTCTAACTCTCTGACATTTATCTCCAAAGAGTGATGTAAAAATCATGAGGTTCAGAGTAGAAAAAACTCAACTGTTAATCATTATGTTGATTAAATATTAATTTTGGTAAAAGTGTGTCTGCTTAGTGTAACTATTACTACTTCATATCATCGCTGTTGAGTCCGGTGTGCCGGAGAATGGGTTGTGAAGACTTTTATACAGAGACAGGTGTGTCCTTGGACTCCCACAGTGCACTGCGCGCCTGTTTGTGGGTCCAGAGTTCGCCGTTAGGCGTGGACATTGCCCAGCAGCTGCACGTCCTCAGGAGGCTTGGACACTAAATCAAAATGTCTGGGCTGGACTGAGAGTGAAAACAGCGCTTCCTCGCCAAAAATATTAAACTCGGGTCCCTCCTTTTGAACAGCTGCATGCTTAAACGTCTCCCTCTGTCACCTGATAAGCAGCTGAGTCCAGTGTCATCGCGCTTTCCTGCAGCCATGGGCTGGCGAGCGGTGCGCGTTCACGGCCCACGAATGGTAGCCATCATTAATCAAGAGCAGAGAAACGGATGTGCGATGGCTCTGCGGAGGAAAATGTGAAGTCAAAGCGGCTGTAAGATGTAGAGCGTTTCAAAATTTTCCGATCCAGTCCCAGTGGAAACACGCGTGATGCTGAGAGGGGCTCGTTACAAATGCGTTCTTATTGCGCAGTTTTAAATCCACGCTCGACCTTTAACACCGTGCGCGAGAGTGGAGCTGCTGGAGGTCACCTTTCCTGCCAAAAGCCTCTGGCACTGCCTTTCCCAGGATGAAGAGCACGCGGGCATCTCACGTTTCCAGGCTTATGATCGGTTGTTGTCGAAGTCTTATGGAGCAATACACAGAAACGGTCCATGTAATGTGCCACCGGTTTAATTTAAAAATAAAATACAATAAAAACAGAACATTAGTTTTGTGTGGATGTGATTTCTTCGTCTTTTTTAAAAGTTCCGCCTAAAGCATCCGTTTCCACATAAATTAAAGAGTAATTTAAACAGTTGTAAATGACTTCTTGGGCTATAATCTGTCAAAAACACCTCAAACATAACTCTCATGAATGATATCAAGTCATTCCGAGGCAGAAAGAACGGCCCTGTCACAAAGTAGAAGCTGCAATCAAGTTTTGGTAAAGGGACTATTTACTGAGACTAAAAAAATTGTCTCTTTGAAGAGAGATCTGGCCAACATGGAAACAAATATCACATTTCTATAAAGATGTTTTAAGTGTCAAAAAAGGACTGGACTGACTGCAAATATGGAGTAGGAGCAACCAGGCTTGCAATGCTGATCATTTCTTGATTTTAGCCCTTCATAAATCCTGTTCATTACCAATAAACAATGGCTTAAAATAGACACATTTGACTGTGCAGGATTCATACATTCAAAGATGTTTAAGAAGCACGTTGTCTGAAAACGCCATGATGGTTTTACAAAACAAACAAACAAAATAAGAAGAAAGTGACACTTTTCACAACAATTCACGTAAAAGCACCGACACTGGGATCATAATCAATGTGACACTAAGAGGCAATCCGCCAACCAGCAGTGAGTAATCCTCACACACTCGTCTTCACCTTTCTAGTAATGTGCAGCGTAATGGCGCACTAGTTTGTCCCTGTGCGCTCGCCGTCCTTTCACATGATTTCCACTGCGTGTGACTGCCCTGCATTCCTCAAGTGGCGATATTTTCTCTGTGTGGAAGTAATTAAAACTTACAGCGAGCGAAACGTAAACATGGCGTGAAAACACGCTCCGTGGCCGTGTTTTGAGTGATCTGCGGCAAACAGCGGACCGTCTGCGGCGTGACAGGCGATTACTAAGATCAGAATTCGCGGATAAAACATCAGTTCCACTTTTTGTGTTTTTGTAGTTGTGTGTGTGTGTCAGAGTGCATCTGCAGCCTGCTCGGGTGGATGGATACAAGATACTGAGGGGCTTCTGGGGGCTTCGCGTCGGTCATGGCTGAGCTTCTGCAGTCAGATTCAAGAATGTAAGATCCGCTGAGAGCCACCTTTACTACAGACACCAGCTACAGCATGCAGGATGGACCATAAACATACACGGCTTTGCTACTTAGCTGATAGTGAGCTACTACATTATTATAGCAAACCAAACACGTATCTTTATGCACAAAGTTAATTAGATGCTTGCTTCCAGCACAGTATTACTAATGCGTGGTTGAAATGTGTCGTTTCTTGCTTCTTTATTTCTTAAATGACACATTTAGCCACTCGTGTGTGTTTACTTCTGCAGGTGTAACTATTTCTTCCTATATGATGGATCCAAGGTCAGAGGAGAGGCTGATCCTACAAGAGACGGAATCTGCTACTTCTACCCTGAAGAGGTCTGGCTGACACAAAGTGCTGCAAGCTGCACGTCTAGTGTGTGTGTGTGTGTGTTAGGGAGTGTGTCGAAGATGATAACAATCTCCCAGCACTTGTATTTGTGTGCGTATGTTCTTAGCTTGATTTCAGAGAAGTCTGTGAAAGCATCTCATGTCTCTGTCAGACCCCACTAGACACACAGGAGCTGCTGTGTGGGCAGCTCGCCGGCGTGGGCCGCTGCGTCTCCGAGCTCTCCTCCTCTCCAGCGCGCACGCTCAGGCTGCGCCGCAACAAGTTCGCCATCCGCATGAAAGACGACTTCTTCTGGGTGAGTGGGGCTCTACTGGTGGTCCAGCAGCAACCTCTTGTGATATTTCAGGCTTCCCTAATGGTTATTCAGGGGATGTGTTTTCTTTTCTCCCCCAGGCGCTGGGCTGCTCGGTGGATGTCCCTACTGTCAGCGTGTCTGAGTTCCTGGACCAGCTGATAGACCTCTTCTGTTTCTACAACGGCCCTGTCCGCCAGAGCTATCAGGTGCAGCTGCACAAATACTTCTGCTTTGTTCTACGTAGGTTTAAGAAACATTTACATCAGCCGTCACAAAAAGATCAAGATGTCTGACAGCACAACCAGTGACAAGTTAATAAAGGGGCAAAAAAGCCTTTATGTGTGTGGCTTTCAGCAACACTGTGGGGCTTTTTATTGAAATGGTTTTGGGTGGACTTAGTGTGAAGGGTCAGTGGAAACCTTCATGTCTGGTCTCTTCTCTGAGGAGCCTCCCTGTGCTTCATCCGTAGCACTGACTATGACAACAAGGTGAATCACACGCTGTGGCAGGCGAGCGATCTCGGCCCACGTGAGACATTTCGGGCCGTGCCGTTAAACAGTGGTCTGCCACCTTTATGCTTGAATTTCCTTTAATTTGCCACCTGTCTGAATAAAATCCCCAAATGCTCATTGTCATCAAGTTTGACCTTTGCTTTGCAGCTCAACAGTCAGGAAACCCTGGCAGCCCAGTGGGCGAGGTACCTCTCTCACCTGCAGTCAGGATCCTCAGAGCTTAGTCACATCTTCAGCTGCTTGAAGACCATCGACTCGACTAACGTAAGTACTAAAGGTCACACGTGGGGTTCTGCTTTTAGCCTGCTGCCACTCAGAAGGCAGAATATATCACGACATCCTGTGGTGTTGAGTAAGACCTCAGCATGGCTCGACAAACCATCAGCGGTTCATTTCTGCTTATTTAGTGTGCCTGCAGGATACATGTAAACAATACAGTGGGCACACGCTGGAGATTTGCTCAGTAGATGATAATATAAAAGCAAAATCATTTTTTTTATTGTTTATTTCTGCATGAGCTGCAGGTAACATTTCATCGGATTCATTTCCTCAGGTTGACCCTCTTCTCCTGCTCAAAGCGGCCCTCATTCTTCAGGCCTGTCAGCGCTGCCCTCTAGTGTTAGCTGGATGTATTCTGTTCAGAGGAAGGTGAGCTCGCGTTTGAAGAGAACGGCCACGACTTCTTCTTTTAAATGTCAGCTTCTGAAATCAGAAATTTTTTTTAATGTATTTTTTTGTGATCTGCTTCAAAGAGTTGTCAGCACACAGATGTCTCCAGGGCTCACAATGAAGGTCATGGTTCACGAGAGTGAAACATACACCAAGGTAGGACTTCAACATCTGTCCAGAGGTTTCCTAAACTTTTTTTTCTTTTTTCTTCAGATCAGCAGTAGTAAAATCGTAGATATAATGAAAGGTTAACGTAAGTAAAGCAGCCTGAAAAGACGAGACGCACCAGCCCCCTCCCCCATTCACACGCATACACATAATTAGGAGATGGAAGCTCAAGGGTACTTCGCAGGTCCCTCCGCTGTGAGGACACCATGCTTGATTGATGCACTGTGCAGTTAGTGTTTTGTGACAAATTTCTTTATTTGAGCAAGCTGCAAAAGCCGTACTTTAGAAGTCAGAGAATAACTTATTCTTCATCCAGGGTCACTCTCTTTGATGTGATAGGTCTATAAACGCATAATATTTCCACATCTCCACTGACTCTATATATTTGTTTCTCTAAGACGCAGGCAATCTTTAATAATGTCTAAAATGTAACAAAAAATACAGCATAACTTTGGCCTGCTGTTAAAGTGCAGAACGTCACTCGTGGACGGGCTATAAACAATCAAGAAATTGTTTAAGTTTGAAACAGCAGCTTGTATGTTTTGTAAAAATGAATGAATATTAAGTGTTGGCATATTTTCAGCCTGATGAAAACTTGGTGTATCTCAACATGGTGTGCAGTGTGTCCTATTAATCTATAACAGATTAATAGAATCTGAAAGCAATGTACTTAAGAAATAGGGGAGAAAAATCCATTAATAATGAAGGGAAACGGGGAGAAAGGTTTTATGGAGTGATGAATCCAAATCTCCAAATGTAAAAGTTTTGTTTCAAAGACACTCCGAGTGTCTGTGACCATCTATAAAACACAGCGGAGGCTCTGTCATGGTTTGGAACTGCATTCCCACCAGTCGTTTTTGAGATCTTGTCAAAATTAATGGAATTATGAACCCAGTAGAGTTCCATCATTTTCATCCACTGTGCCAAAAAGTGTTTTATTGGAAGCAGCTTCATTTTTCAGCATGATGATCCCAAACACACAGCCAGTGCCCTAAACCTGGGTAGAAAAGACACAGTGGAACACCATCAGTCATGGACTGACCACTCCAGAGACTGGACATCAACATTATTGAAGCAGTGTTTTGACAGACAGACAGAACAGAAGGCAAAAAGAAGAGCTTGTCCGTGAAGAAGCCTGGTGAGCTATTCCTGAAGACTATTTAAAGAAAAGTATAAGAAAGCTCGTCTAAGACAGTTCAGGCTGTGTTGAAGAATAAAGAATAAAACCTATAAATGACAGAAAACAGAAAAACTGGAGTAAACCATGACAACTAATCTCAGCGCACGCAGTGATTCATCCTGCATGCTGCTGCTGTGACCCCGGGGTAGCTCAGCTATAAGCAGCTAATGCAAAGACGCAGGCAGAATTGCAGTGTGGTGCCAGGTGTTCTCACAAGCTAGCAAACCTGTTAGATTCCCTGGGAGGATGTGGGCTGGTGGATAATTAAAGTGGGCTGATGATGCAGCTCTCACTCTCAGAGGTGCTCAGAGAGCCTTTATTGTCATTGTGCAGAAAGACACCGAAGTAAGGAGTGCTGCTGCTCCTGTTGCATTTAAGTGTTGCTGCTGTATAACAGGCAGCAACAAATAATAATAATATTTTTGTTTTCTTGTGTAGGCTCAGCGGCCTAATGGAACAAGTGCATCAAGCTCATTTAGCGGTACTGTCAGCTCCACAACTGTGTTCCTGACCGCGCCTGAACTCCAGGACCTGCAGTCCGCTCCTGTCGACAAAGGTTTCAGGTGGTTTCTCCTTATTTATTTTACAGATGATATTCAGTGAAGCTTATTTAAACAAGCTGCTTGAATCCCTTTGTTACACAGTTCTGACATTCTAAAACCTTCCAGCTGTCCTACCACGCCACAAAGAGATGGTCCCTCAAAGAAGACCCGCCTGTCAAGGACTTTATCCGACACTCCTTCTACTGAGTCACAGGTGTCAAATCCAAGTTTATCCAAACCTCCTCAGAAGGCGTCCCTCAGCCCTCGTGGGTCAGACTCCGATGTGTTCAGCCCGGCTTCGTCCCACAGCGCTGCCAATTCCCTCAACCCATCTCCACAGTCGCTCAGGCTTCTCTCAAATGGAGAAAACACTGTTGAAGATGAGGCGGAAGAGAGCCGCTCCCGCGACAGCACAGGTGGTCGCAGCCAGATTCGCAGTGAAGGAGACGGCTCCGTGTTTGAAGAAGACTCCCATCTAAATGGAGGAGAAGGGGAGGGAGCTTTTGGGGGTGTGTTTGAGTTTCAAGCGGTCGAGTCTGGAAATGAGCAGCCGCACGATGATAAGGTGGTGGAGGAAGACAGCAGAGTCTCCCGTGAGAGTGTTTCAGGCCACAAGGCAGGGAAGAGCGATCCTCCTCCTCTTCTTCCTCCTCCTCATCGTCTCTCTGACGCCTCAGAGGAGATTGCGCTGATCCCCATGACGTTGTACATGCACAGAGTGAAGGGCTTGGTGCTGGCTCTGCTGGTGGAGCCTCACTTCATGAGTGACGCCACTTCTATGGAGGAAGTGGTGAGGGCTGTGTTTTGTTTTTCCTCTGCAAACTGCAGCTCAATTTAAATTCAAGCAAATGAGTGCGTTGTTTTTGCCTTTGTCATGCTGATACGTGGCATTGTCGATCTGTCTCCAGTATCACAGCAGCCTGGCTTCACTCAATGGACTGGAGGCCCATCTGAGGACCATCTCTCCGGGTGCCCCGGGAGGTCCAGGGCCCTACACCTTTGCCCATTTCGACTGCATTCAGAGCACGCTCACAAGTAATAACTGCCCCTTAAATATCTAATCAGCTGTCTCCCTGCGTTAAATATTCGGCACTCCCTGCGCTTGTCTTTTCAGCTTTTTTTTCATATCTGATATTCCCAAACATTCTGTCTCTTCCAGTTTTCCAACTTTCACTTTTCTGCTGAAGTGAGTATAAGTCCCTGCATCTCTACCCAGGGCAGTGGGGCTAGGAGGGGGGAGGGTTGGTAGATTGTCTTTGCATGAGCTAACTGCTAATTTCAAGGACTGTGATCAGCATTCTTTTGAGCTGCAGGCATGCCTGTCCAGGTTAATGTGCCTCTGTTATTGTGTGTCTCTGCAGCCAACCTGTCTGGCCGGTCAGGGGGAGCCTGGGATCAACCCTTTGTCAGAGCCACATCACTTCTTCACTCGCATTTCTGTAACACTGAGACTCTGCAGGAGGCTATTATCAGGTCAGCATGGCAATGATGCAGTAGCTTTTGGTGTGAGAGGGTGGAGGGGGCAGGGGGATTTCTTCATCTTCTACTCAAGTAAAGGTTAGAAGGGAGGGGGGATTATTTGACAGTTTATCACGTTCATCCCTCTGAACCTAAACCTTCCCTTAACTAGCGTGGATCTCGCTCTGACAGCTGATGTTTACTGGTAAAAACCTCCCACACTGTTTGCCTTCTTTAGTGTGTTTGTTTGTTGCACAGCGGGCTTGAAATTGAAATCTGCGTGACATTATGTCGGCAGGAATGCCAGCACAGCTGTGTATGGCACCCGCAGCGTGGCCCAGGAGACTTACTTCCAGCAGAACGGAGGCTCGCTGAGGAACTCGGGCATCCCGAACCACCAGGACAGCGCTTTCTCGCTACCCAGCAAGGCCCGGCACAGACTGCTGAAACACGGGGTTAACCTGCTCTGACAGGGCAGCGTCGGGTCGCCCGTTCAGGAGGAAATGTATTTCACTGGGAGAAGAACTGCCCTGTAAGTAACATTAAAAAAATAAAATGGAAAAAAAAGCTCTGCTGTAGGAAATTTTACAACAGGATTACATCTTCTTTGCTGCCCTCCAGCTGTGGTTTACTTGTTCCCATGCTGTACATTACCGTACGCTGTGGCACTGTGCTGTAAAACCCTAGTGGATCTCATATTCACAGCAGAACTGTTTTTTATTTTATTTATATTGTAACTATAAATTTGCTATGACAGTGGATGCTTGTTAAAGCTTAGTTAAAGTAGGTTATGTTTACTTCCATGCTTATATGAGTCTAATTTTATTTGTTACATTTAAACAAAAATAAATAAATAAAGTAACTGTCTGCAGCAGATGTTTCTGTTGCTTTCACTCATGCATTTAGACTGAAGCCAGAATCGTTATCCTCTCCCACATTTGAGAAGAAAAACGTGCTTGTTCGCTGCTCCTGTATTGGCTTATTTGTCTAGAAGTTCTAAAGCATTTTATAATCAACTCTATGTCAGCAATCAAAAGTGTTATTTAAATATTTGGCTATTAGGACTGTGATTTGTCTTTATTGCTGCCATTTACACAAAATGTGTGTATTCGAAGGTTGTCTGAGAAGAGGTTTGCTGTGATGAACTTCTGTGTGTTTTAAAATAAAATGTGATCCGCTCTGAGTTGGCCTCTTATGAGCTACTTTTCTCATGACTTGTTGAAAACAGCTGGGGTTGCCTGACCTTCTTATGACTTCAGTGTGGAGCCTATTGTTTTCTGCCTCTTGCTTAATGGCGCCGTTCAAACGACCATGAACAGGTGTGTGCAAAGCGGTCTGAAATGCCAAACGCATGCCTGTAAGATGTTCATACTTTTGCTCTCTCAGAATATCCTCCCCTATACGTGTTCCGAGTAAGGTCGTTCTCGACCATCCAGCTATGGAGTAATTAGGGCAATTAGCTAAGTAGCTGAATGTGAATGGGCTTGCTCGGCGCTCTGGGGGCGCCTAATTATGCAGGCGCATTCAATAAAAGGCAGCGGGGGTCAAATGGGTGGGCAAGGCACAAAAGGAGGGGCAGGGACTGTGAGGAGGGCCAGGATTCAAATTCTAAGTGGTGTGTTGTCCCCCCATTGTCAGTGGGGTATAATAGCGAGGGGTTCAAACTGGCCGCAGGGCTTTGGAGAGCTGGCATCAGAGAAGAAGTGGCCGCTCCTCGTCGCTGGAAAAGCACTGGGCGGAATTCGGGATTTCACCATGGCCTCTTCAAACTGCACGCGGATTACATCACTTTTCATTTTAATGATGCTGAGCTGCTGTGGAGTGTTCGGGCGCGCGGTGGGCACATCGGAGCTTTTGTCACAGGAGCCACACGAAGCGACTTTACGCACGGACCGGTGCGCGGAACTGGAAGCACCTTGGCTGGAGAACACGGAAGAAGCTCGCGTGGATAGCGGGACGCGTTTGGAGATCAGCATGCGGCACTTTTCCGCGAGAGCTTCACGTGGGTTGGTTTTTCCAGGAAAACCTCTGTTCGGCTTCGTCCGGCGCGTCTACCGCTGCTGTCAAGAAGGAGAAAACTGCAGGAGGCTGAAAGGGATTCAAGGTCGCATGAGAGGAGGTAAGAAAAAAAAGAAAGAGAGAATACACCCAGGCAAAAGAAACTTTAACTTTTCACTTTAACTTCATGCTCGTCCTGTGGAGGTCAGATGTGCTGAGCGGGACTGATCCTGATGGGAGGGAGTATTTCTAAAAAATCCCCCAAACAAACAAAAAACCCAACTAAAATCGAAGATCGAAGATAATCCCTGTGGTTAATCCTCCAAAACAGAGTTCAGTTCAATACATAAAACTAGCTGTGTGGTAACCACGGGAACGGACTATTCACATCTGTAAGCATCAGCTGGCCTCCACACAGCTTCTTCTCATATTTCTTGAGCTTACCTGCTATATTAAGAATCTTAATAATTCCAGAGTTTAAAAAAAGTTGTGCTGCAAATTAATCAGGAGAGAAGAGAAACTTTGTTCAGTAAACCATTCTGAATGGGTCTAATGAGCGATGAACTAAGTGAATAAATTACAGGGATGAATTGGTACCTAATTTAGCAGAAAATTAAGCAAAAGAAACATGAATAACACGAAGCAGCCACACACAGAGTAGGCATTCTGGCTTTTCCCTTTAAAAATATCATTTTTCAGCAGAGGTGAAGTGAAGACAGAAAGGCAGTTTGGGGGTGGATAATGACTTGAATAATGCAGCTGCAGGGAGGACTGTGTTATCTGCACACAAATGAGTCTTAGCTGGCTTAATGTTCCCTTCAAGAATTGTTGAGACATCCTGCTGACTCATTAACAAGGCATTAGGAGTGAAAACATCACCTCTGCGGCAGAGCCTGACATGAGTGAATGTGCTTCTCTGTGACATGAAATGCTGTACCGTGACTCTGACTGTTAATTGCCTCTTCTCCGCCTCACCAGATACGGGTGTGGAGTTTGTCCTCACCAGGGAGATCTTGTCATTAACGGTTACAAGAGCCGAGCTTCACCTTCAGCTTTCCAACCCGCAACATCTGGACATCCGCCCTGTGCTTCCATCCATGGCGAAGCACAAGCTTCCTACAAGGTACAGGCTCAAAACTCAAGAAATGTACTTTTGGTGTTTTTACACACAATCTTATTCAAGACCCAGTAATATCATTTGACTGATGGGCTCTGGGAATGGCTGGCCTGATTGTGACACTGTCTCTTGCCACCTTTAGGTACACTCTGGGGTCACGGGGTCACACCGTGGAATTGAGAGTGGACCTGTTGTTCCTTTTCCACAGCGCACAGGAGGTCATGGGTGGCCGAAGGCAGGGCCCCAGCTTGACAAACATCTGGCGGGTGGCGTTTTTGTCCGGTGGAGATCCGTCGGATGAAAACCCCTTCGTAAAGGATCCGCAGGACATGTTGGGGAGTCGTCCTCTGGATCTGGGCTTGGTCCTGGGTTGCAGTCAGGGTGGAACTGAGGTGTCATGTAGAGCTGGTGGTGTTGATTTTACGCACACACCTTTCATGGCTCTTTATTTTGGATCAGGTTAACAGTTGGACCTGACTGTTTTTGCATGGCAGCATTCATCGGTCTATTGCCATTACCAGCTGAACACAAAAGGATGCACTTCAAATGTCAAAATGATTAATTTATAGGCTAAAGCTTATGTAAACTATCTATTTCTCTCTCTATATATGTAAATATGTACATTGTAAATATGACATACTGTAAGTTTGTGTAATTTTGTGGTTATGAGACTCGGTCCAGCAGCAAACCGCGTGGCCTCCTCAGTCTGCTTTGTTCAGCAGCTGTCCTCCTTTAGCTACGCATGAATCTGCCTCGTGCTTCTATTTAAAGAAGTTTTCACAGTTGGTGGGAAAAGAAGAAAAAAACAACACCTGGACAAACAAAGGGCTTGCACATGTGCTTCGACCATGCTGAACTGAGCTGCGATTATTCTGTTCATTTGTGAGGACGTATGGTTAGACCCTCGGACCCTGTGACACTTTTCTATCCTACCTCAGAAACCGATGATTATCATCGTTCACTTTTTTTTGTGATTTTCATTTGTTTACTCAAAATTTGCTTTGCTTATGTGGTTGAACTGACCATAAAATAACTTATTGGCTACACAATAAATCAGCTATTAATAAAATTCTTTAGACGACAGTGTTGACTTTATCTGTGTTACTGTCCCTAAATTTATGGCACCGAGGAACACAAGGCATAAGATGCCACGACGCTGCTGCCATTCAATAAGGGTTTCATTATGAAAATATATACTTATGAAGGACAAACAGAAAATAAGAGATGAGAGCCCCAGCTAAAAAACCCAGGCGGTCCTGAAGTGGTGCTTTGCCTGACTTGGAAGAGATTCTTTTTTGTTTCTGGATTCAAAATTGTTATTTTCTGGAACGATTCTTTACCTTTGTGAGATACAATTTTGCATCTTATCGCCAAATATATACCAAACTGAAGGACTATGACACAAAATGAGATCCAGATGTTCCTGATGTGGTGTGGCATGTGTGTTTTCAGCCTCTGTGGAGGTATTCAGTTTCAGGCTTGTTCAGTTTTTAGCCTTTTTAGACTATTTCTATTATTACACACACACACACACACACACACACACACACACACACCTCACCCTCTGACTCAGTTTGCCAGTGGGGGGTAAGGCACTCAAAGCTATTTGAGAGCTGCTACCCTTAATCTGAATAACAATAATCTGGCCAAAGGGTTCAGGCAGTGAGTAGCCACCATCATCTGAGAGACAATTATCCATTTGTGAAGTAATTAAAAAAAAATGAATAATGTATGTTATTGTGTTATTTATGCAAGGCGTCACATGACACGGGCACTTTTAAGGTTAAGAGGTTTAAGGTAGAGCCTTGCTTGTCCTGGATTTTTAGCTAACGCTGATATTTAGGCGGTATCAAATGATGTACTGGTTTTAAAGTAATAACAAGAATTATCTGATGACCCGATCTTTACTGCAGTTCAGTTAAAAAACAAATTCTTAACAATATATTGGCACATATCAGATGACATATACCCTGATACAGACAAATGTGTGATAGATCAATAATAATTACCAAGCCAAGCCAATATGTTGGAAGCTATTCATGCATCAACAAAAGGTACAGTGGTCCCTCATTTCTTTATATGTTGTTAAGAAAATGGGAAATAGGTGCTGTGGATGACTGAACCATGCAGTCAAACTTGGATCTAAATCTTTTATGAACTTTGTGTTCATAATTTCACCAATTTTGGAAGGATCGCCAACGCTGTGTCTCACAGATGGCTGTCCACACTCACTGTTGTACCTCTGTACATACTGGATTAATCACTCCATAAGATCTGTTGCTGTTCAGTCCAGCTCGTGTCATTTAGCATAGATCAGTGTTTTCTCCTCGTTTCTCTTCATTAAGCACGACTTCTTTCCACTCAGACCACTTCTGTCCAGATGCATCTCTCAGTATCAGATCTTTTATGGATTTTTCAGTAAAGACCTCATTAGATTACATAAATTACTTTTGCAAACTGTTCATCTGGTGAAGATATATTTGTTTAGGCTTTTGCCATGCAGAGAAATACCAAGTTTTCAACTAACAGCTCTGTGGGAGTCTCCTTGGAGTAAAAACACTAGTTTGTGTGTCAAACTGTTATCTTTACAATTTTTCATAAATATAGCTAAAGAAATAGGAACAGATGTGTTCCTGCAACAGGCTACAAGCAGTAAAATGATTAAATACTACTTTTTGTTTTGCCAAGTTCTCTATTATGTGTAGATAATATTGGTTTATCCCTTACGAGTCTTTTATGCTCAAGTGATTGGTAACGTAACAGAATAAGTTCCTCTGAAAGTGGGGGAGGAACAAGGACTGCAGGGAAAATGAGCAGATAACACTACTTAAATGCAACTCTGGCTCCTCGGAACAAAAGAAAGAAATGGAGGGGTGGCTCAAGACTTGTACGCTACACCAAGTCCAGCATACTTCATACTTTTTAATTCCAAAGTACTTGGCCTAAAAGAAATTCAATTAACCAGAGCACTATGTTCAAATATTAACTGACCTGGAATAATTGTAGGTGGTAACTCCTGGGTGGTGGAGGTGGAAGAACAGCAGCAACACATTCTGATAAAAATAGCACATTTATTAAAAAGACAGCATTTATCAGCAGTTCCCATATATGCCATATCTGAGGCAGAAGATCAGGGGTCTCGCATACAGTTTCTCAGTCCACCTGCTGCTGCTTACATCCCTCAGAAGAGCAATTATTTACCAAACACGTGCGTATAAGGGACAACTTGCACACTCCATGTCTCACGCATACACATTCACGGCAGCAGACCCGGCTGTTCAAATTGAATGGGCTGCTGCCTGGGCAATGGGCAAGTTGGCTGATTTCTGCTGTTCAAATTTGTTTCCGTTTAAGTTGATCTCACATGTTTAGTTTAAAAAAAAAGAAAAAAAAAAAAAGAAAAAAAAAGTTAAAAGAAAACATGCCAAAACAAAAACAATTTTACAATAATTACAGAGCAATTCAAACGACTCTTTTACAATGATTTTTAAAAAACAAAGACAAGATTGAGTATTCTGGCATGGCCTCAATAAATGCGATGACAAGACATGAAATGACATGTTAGCTTGATTTAGCACGTTTCCCAGGTGAAAGAAAGGATGAGAGGTAATTATTTTGCACCATGTTAGGACTCTGATGAACAATTTGGATGGAATGACTGAAATTCTTTGGTTCTCTTGTGGGAAAAGAAAAAAAGCAGAGCAGATCTTCATTCCACTGTGGTAGTTAACTACGAGACCAACAACAAAAGGTCTGGAAAGAAGGATGTGAGGAGACTGCTTGAAATAAGTTGTGGGTATATGTTTATTACACTTTTCCTGCAAAACTTGTGGTTTTTTTAGTTGAGGTTAAGAACAGACTTGATATACATTTTAATTCTTCTGACATGTGTCCTGTTCTCCTAAAAAGAGTCCTTCCTGTGGAATGAAAATCTAGCCCTGAAAAGTTTTTTTGTACAGAGAAGGAAGAAAAATAAAATAAAAATAAAAAAAAATAAAAAGGCTGTTTTGACATAAGCCAACAAAAGAGCCACCTCAAGGCGAATGATGGTAAAGCGCATTTGTATTTAACAATTCAAGGCAACAAAGACACATGCGCACACACACACACGCGCACACACACACACGACATTTTAAAATACATGAGGCAGTGCAAAATGTCACACCAATAATATATCACGTTTTAAAAAGTCAAACTAAAACAAATCCTGAGGAAAAAAAAAAAAAAAAATTTCAAACAAATCCAAGCGTATTATAAAATATCTCCAGGTCAGCCCCGCTCCGATTTAATTTACACCTAACGCAATGGAAGATCCCATATATTCAGAGATAATCTCATTTGTTTAACAGACAGCTCACCTGGCTGCCTGTTAGAATTTTTATACTCTGTACCAATAACCATTTCTCCCCAGAAGAAAAGGCCACAAAGTCATCTTCATAAGAAACAAAACAAGATCAAAAACAAACCCTCACTTACAACCCCAAATTAACAAAACCAAAAACATTGTCGTCACACGATAAAAAGTGTGATCTTGTACCTTATATACAAACGCGACTGTGTAGACTTGCAGAGGAGCAGAATATGGTGACTTTGGCGCTGGATTAAATGAACGTTTTGCATCTTTTCAGAGGAAAGAAAGGCGCTTATACAGATTGGTGACAAATGAAAGAGAGAAAAAACAAACAAACCCCAAAACAAAATCAGTCACATACTTGATGACTGCAGTGAGGAGACCTTATTTTCTGCTGTGCTATGAGGCATTTTGATGGGATGGCTTGGGTCCACTTGGCCCCCTGAAGCTGGTGTTATATTTTCCCTGCAAGGGGTGAGAACAAGGCTCCAAGAGGACATCTGTGTGCCCCCCCCCTTTTTTTTCTTCTTCTTTTTAAACCATGCAAATTGTACACTATATTATAAATAGTACACTATTTATAATAAAGAACTATAAAATTTTCTTGATGGCTTCTTTGAGTGATGGACGCAAGCTTGTACATGTCAAGGGTGGAGAGTCCACACCAAGCTGGGAGCAAGTTGTTGCCCCAAGGAGATGGTTGAGTATCTCCAGGTCTTGTATGTGAGACAGAGAAGGAAGGAGCAGGTGTATGCTCCAGTGCTGTCATGGTGAGGAGAGCGCTGAACGTGAAAGCGAAGCTGTCGATTTACCTGTGGATCACTTATGGCCATGAACTCTAAATAGCAACCAAAAGAAAGACTGAGCAAATACAAGCGGTGGAAATGAGCTTCCTCTGAATGGTGTCTAGGTTCTGCCTTAAAGACTGGATGGCTATTCAGGTCAGCAGAGCTGCTGGATCTCTGCAACAAAATGAGCCAGTTGAGCTCGATCAGGCATCTGACTTGGACCCGATCTGAGCTCCTGGATGAGGTGTTTCGGTTACGTCCAACTGGGACTAGGCTGGAGTAGACCCCGGACACACTGGAGAGATTGTGTCTCTGTCTTAGGAACACTTGAAGGTAAAGGAGGTGGCTGGGGAGAGAGAGAGAGATCTCTGCTTAAGGAGCTGTCTTGGGACCTGGATAAGTGGCAGAAAATGCAGACAGATGGAAGGACTACGCATTCTCGATATCCGTGTCATCAAGCGAGCCTAAGTGCCACCATAAAGGCAAAGGTCAACGCAATCAAATGGTCATCTTTGTCCTACAAGAAGAAACAAACAAAAAACAAAACAAACCTTCAAACCCGATGGGAGTGACTTGAAGGAGGGTCCGAGTCTAGTCTCACTTCCAATTAAAAAAAAACAACAAAACAAAAAACAAAAAAAACAACAACAACAACAACAACAACAACAACATGCTGAGACTCAGTCAAGGCATTTTGGCGTCACCAGCAAAATTCTGAAGATACTAACAATTAACCACTTAGGAAACCCCACCAGGTTTGGCTGCCTTAACCCAACCAAAAATAAAGTGAAAATATGAGTAAACTTCACACTAAAACAACCCAAACATGCTAAAGCTCCCGCATAAGACGCCAGTCAGTTTCCTTCGTGACACACTTATCTGGAAACTTCTGGAATCAGTGCCAAGGCACACTGAAACACTGTTGGTTTGTTCTTTCATTTCTCACCAGTCTGTATGAAATAAGAGTAAGATATTACAACATTCAAAAGAAACAAAACACACACACACAACACTACCATAAACTGGCTAAATATTTTCTGGCACCAAATTTTTAAACCACCATCAATCACAATGAGGAGGACTGAGGAGTAAGGAAGCATCCACGACGCCTGAATTATTAATCACTTTTCAAGTACTGCGTATGGCAACAGCAATACTAGTCAGAGAAGGGAGAGGAGGATTGGGTGGTGAGTACTTAAGACGCATTAGTGAAACAGGCAAAGTTACAAAATCATCCTCAGAGTAGAGCTAAGCACTTAAGGTAAGTAACTAGATACATTAACAGGAGACTTCACAACAACGCCACCAAAACCAAAAAACAAAGCTTCTTTTCAGTCTGCGTGGAAAGCCAAGAACATTTTTGTCCAAACAAAAGCTCAAAGCGGACGCCGACAACATAGATATGTGAGGGGAGTGCGAGGCGGGGGGGGGCTCATAGATTTCATTTTGTCCCAATTTGATCAACTCAAAAGACCGAAATATGACCCCACAGGAAATTCACAATGTAACTACACATAAAAGGTACAGGCAACACTGAAACGTTTGACGACAACAGAATGGAAAAAGCTAAGAGAAGAATTGAATAAAGGTTCACACATATCATCTGGTACACAGTTGATTTTTTTAAAAACTTATATTATTGTTGTGCTTTCTCACCTCTCAGAGGACAAACATCCGATATACAAAGAGTGACTTGGAGAATACATGGCAAGTGTATCGGGGGGGGGGGGATTTGTAATCATTTAGAATCCTAATATTAAGAAGTCCTGACCTGTTGTGATAGTTTAACACTTCAGAGTCAACTACTCACATTTGTTTTAAAAACACATTTTGGACAGAGATATAAAATTCAAATTTAAAAAAAACAAAAAAACAAAACCAGGCCACCATGTTTGAAGTTTTCTGATAAAATAACAAAAATGACATTCTTTGGTGAAACAAAAAAAGACACGCACTAGTGAATGAACAGAAAAAAAAAGAAAAAAAAAGGCAGATGTCACAGAAAATACAGCGATGTAACTGACTCAATGAAGCTTTTCACAGCATGAACTTTGCCTCTCACTAAATATGAATATGGCGTCTTTTACTGAAGGAAACAGCTTTTTTTTTTTTTTTTAAAGATTAGATGTGCGACTTGTAAAATAAATCCATCCTCGGGATGACCCCCCCCCCCAAAAAAAACCAAACAAACAAAAAAAGCGACCAAACAAACTCCAATAGGGTCTTGTAATTTGTTATCACAGATGAGCACATTTTTGATGGCCCTGATTTAGTATTTGGTGGAACAATACCAAAGATGTTCATCACTGCACACAGACGCATTTCTGAAACCTGACCTACATTTACGTAAAGGCAAGGCGACTTAGACAGCAAGTGAGCCCACCGGTTATCAAAGGACTTTCTGATATTTCAACATGGCAGGTAGAAGATGGCACATCAACAAAAAAGGACCAACTAGAACAGAAAGATACGAATATTCCATCTCTGCACTTGTCTCTCAGATGACAACTGCATTTCCATTAACCGTGACAGATTTCTAGTTTATTTAATCAAATTCTCAGCAGTACCATTTCCAATTTGAAAGTAACATGTCTGGCCAGATGCTGAGCAGGAGTGCATTCTTTCTACGCCCCGTACAAAGCAATGCTTTTTAGTTTACAAAAACCGTCCCGGACCAAACACTCCTGAGCATCCTTTTAATGCCGAAATGTTGTTTTTTTTTTTCCCCCCAGCCTTTGAAGGACTGGTGTGGAAATGGCTAACACTGTTCAAAAGGGTCAGCAGAGGTGGATGCAAACAAATTCAAAGAGAAGCGCACAGCATACACTTCCTGCATCTCCTTCCCCCCCATTCTTACAGCATCTGCGTCGTCTTGCAGTGGGTCTTCCAAAAGTTATTGTCTTCTTTGTGTACTTCCTTGTCCAGCCCTCTCCTGTGTGTATGTTTTACCTGTGCTGCTGTTACCACCATGACCCCCTCCCCCCCCTCATTCTCCTCCTCCCTTCCTTCACAGTCCCGTGTCCGTCTCGTTAGTAGATAGTTTTAGCTCACAGCCGGCAGAGGCAGAACAGTGTTGGGATGAACACCCCAAACGCAACGAGGATGGGAAACATTAGGCTGCTGTTGTCAGCTGCGTATGGGTTTGGTGTTCGGGGGCCTGACTGGACCCTGTGATGGGTACCTTTTGGGGGCTTTTTCTTCCCACCTTCCTCGCCTACTTCACCCTCATCATCGTCGTCGTCATCGTCCTCAGGCTTCTCTAAGCCAGGGTGAGGTTGAAGCTTTGGTACATCTTAAAAGATGTAGAACAAAAGTCAGGGAGAGCTCGCTGGTCCCAGAAAGTCAAAATGCTTTAGTCAACACACTTCACTGTAAAGTGCTGAACAATGTGTTTAACAATCTTAGGACTCACCTTCTAATGTCCCCTTCATCACGTAGAGAGCGCAGATCTTGGGGTTGTCATAATAACCCTGAAACAGCAGATTCAACAGAGTCAAATGTAAGCAAAACGTGTATCCACATATACTTTCAAAGCTCCCATTTAGTTGTTTGAGTTTCCATATTTGTTTCTCGACTTCCCATTCAGTTTGTGGTGTACATTTAATCCCATTTTGTGTCCAAATGGAGTTCAACTGATTCAGGGAAGGAAATCTTTTTAGACAGGAAAAATGCAAAGAGTGCCAGTGGTCCACAAAAATAATGGAAGAAAGAGGTCACTGCAGAAACTTTCCCAAGTATGCCACTTTATACATTTAGCATACAGTCGCATGCCCTACAAACAGACTACCTGCTGTCATTCAGAGCTTTAAAAGGAATCATAAAGCTGTATTTTTTTTCTTATGGCTGCAGCTCATTGATCAACATTTACTAGTATAAACTGAAAAGTGTAATAATTATGATGCATGTGTGTGAAAATAAATGGTGACTAGACAATTTCAATTTGGAGTCATTCAGTGAAACTAGTTAAACACATTTGAAATGAGAACATTACATAGAATATTTGTACAGTAGCAGAACCCATGACTTAATTTTGGTCATGTTGCCACGTCACTCCAAAACCGCAAATAGCAGTCAATAAGAAGTCACACGCATATGTGCGCATTTTATTATTTTATTGATTTATGTATTTTTATATGTGTGTGTAAGTAGTCCTACTTAATTAGGTCAAGTGCATTTTGTTTTTTTTTGGGAGATTTTAATTCATTCATGCTCATATATCTCAAAAGTCTAAAGTCGAACATGATAGATTATGTGAATGGGAAACACAATACTGCTGCTACACTCACACTGGAGATAATAATACTTATTTTGTTAAGTATTATTAACTTCTGATAAAGCAATAAATAGCAGGTCACATCAATGAATTAAAATAAATCTCAAAAAGAAAAAACCAACAACAATAAAAACTTACTTGACCTAATTAAGTAGACACACACACACCATTTTCAAAGGCACTTATTGGGAACCTCACTGATAACATCGACTCCACTATTAACAGGAGCATGAAAGAGATTCAAGATATAAAAATATGGTTCAAGATGCACGATCTAAACTATTCTAAAGACAATTAGGTTGAAAAGCTTCAAGACACTATGGGGGATAAATGATACCAAGGAAGGCAACAAGGTTTGTGAGTCAGCTGAGATAAGGGCATGCCTCAAAACACAGGGTTCAAGCACTGATGAAATTATTATTATTATTATTTTTAATCATTACATTAGCATTACATTGTTTAAAGGAAAATAAGATGTTACAATGTTAACCAATCCAACCATTTTGACACCCCCAACTTTCGCAGACATTACCCACAAAACTCTGACCACCTGTGTCGATATGAAAATAGATGCAAGTAAACATCCAATAAATTCACAGGCCTGAACTAAATAAACCACTTCTAGCAGTGAGAGTCCTGTTTTGCGCTCAATGTTGGAAAGGACAGCTTCAGATAATATCTTGATGTGATTCTCCTGATATTTACCAAAGCTCGTGTGTCAAGATGATCCAGAAATGAATAAACTCAAAAACCACTGAAACGAATGTGAAACAGCACGCTACATCTGTGACATGAAAACAGACTGTTCAGAAAGAATGAAAACCACAGATGTGCCACACTCTTAGTAATCCTGTCCTTCCTCCACTACTAATTTGAATTCACCACCTGCAAGCATCAAAGCAAGTGATGTACACCAGGTTTAATTTTTAGCTTATTTATAACAATTCATGATCTAACAGGTAGTTGTAGTGATATCAGGGAGGAAAAAAAACAAAACATCATTTAATTTTTTTTTTTTTTTTTTTTAAGAAGCATGGTAGGGTCTGGGCTTTAGGCTTTTTTCTTCAGAGGCTTTTGAGTTTAACAGGTTCTGTCACTCCACCCATAAACAGCAAAAACAGCATCTGCTATGCCAGTTATTTTCTTCAGTTCCTTGACAATAATAGTAGGAACAGAAAAAAAAAAATGCCACATCAAGTTCACTCTCCCCTAAGAGCCAATAATATACTGGATGGTTATCAGTCAGTTTCACAGCCCACACACCAACTGGCTATCAAGAGACACTTTCACAAAGGGAGTTCATTATGCAAAGCTTTATGTGTGTCAGGGGTAATGGCACCCATGACACACAAGTAGTTATGCTCATATCTAGATCAAACTGCATTTGAGTTATATTAATATAAAGTGAGTACTACCTTTTCTCCCAACCTCTGACTATTACACATAGCTGCTTGTTGCCATCTTACAATGCTAAAACACTATTAAAGATGTAGAAAATAAGAATTAAACACTTAGTTCATCGCTGTTTTTGGACATGTTGGGTTTAAAAAAAAAAAAGAAAAATAAAGAAAAGTGTTTTAAGCTCAACAATTGACAAATACTTCCAAATACAGCACTCTTATGTAAATGGCCTGCATTACACATTCATGCACTGGTGATGGCAAGCTACATTGTAGCCACAGCTGCCAGGGGGGCCCTTTGACCACCACCAGTTGGCAGACATGGGGTTGCCCAAGGATATTTAGCATGCAGCCAGGAGGCAGCCTGGGATCGAACCACTGACCTTCTGATTAGTGGCTGACCTGCTCTGCCACCTGAGCTACAGCCCTACCCCACACAGTATGTAAACCGTGTGTAAAAATAGCCACGCTCAGATAATTCAACAAATTAGAACTCACCTTTACAAACTCCACAGTGAGCTTGCCGTTGAAAGTGGATACCTCTCCCTGCACGCTCAGCTTGCCCCGTCTAATAGAGAAGGGCACGATCTCATCATGAGCAGTACTGTGTCCTACTCGATCAAATATATCCAGGTCCTTCACCACCACGTGGCCATTTAGACGAACATCAAACACCTGGAAAAACATTCCTGAATCAGTAATGATTAACACCTCATTCTTGTACTGTCACTCACAGACACGTTTAACAGGGAACATTAACAACTCATAAAGTACAAGAAAATGTGGATTAAGGGTGAGGTTATGATGTTCCTTTTACACAGTGGTCATGAGATGGGAAATATACTGGGCCATAACCAATTTAAATGCAACAAAAAATGTTTTTATATAAAAATGCTTCCTGTCCCTTTATTCGTTATTCTCACTAAATTAACTTCTTATTAATTAGCAAATCATACCATGAACAGCCTTTTAAAACTGCCTTACCTTTTGCTGTGACTGAGCAAAGTAAACTTCTGCATACTTCATAACCAGTATATACTCTCCTTCTTCACGAATGGGGACGTCATATCCAAAGCTGTCTTCATTGTAGCGCTCTGTCTGGTACAAAATCTGGTCCTCCTGATTGGACCGTAGTATTGGCAGACGCATCCCATAATTAGAGGCTACAAACGGACAACATCATCAGGCTCGGTATGCAATCAGAAGACAAGATCTGCCTAACAGCAAAAGTACTAGAAATGTGCTGCTTTAGTTGACTTGCAGCATATTGCAAAACCCCACAGATCTTCTCTACATTTGATGACATAACAGCACCGTGCGTCAAAAAAGTAACGAACCATGCTGGGTTTTCACCAAGGTTCAATAAGTTTGGCTCAAAAATGGAACCAAAAACTGTTCTCCAGTCACGCTGATCACATCACTACCTGCTTCCTCTACATATTGAGTGGGGCGGGGCTGTAGCCCTCTATGCTGACTCCTCATAAGTTTGGAGCTACTTGCGGAAGCCAGAACACGCAGGGGTTTCTGCAGGAAATGCCAATTTTACCTCCGTGGAGCACCTACCTTCACAATGTCACTCTCACTAGAACATCAGAGGTGAAGCCTAGCGAAGACACGCACGCATTTTAACAGTTAATCACGTTCACTCACCTTTACCAAGTTTCCCTTCCAGTGGGTCCTTTTTGTAGTGAATACCGTGCACATCTACATGCGCGTCGCCCCCGGCATTTACAGCCCAGATAACCCGTTCAGAGAGGCTGGGCCCCCCACCATCTGCCCAGGACTGCTCGGACAGCAGCGACAGCACCGCTGCGACCAGCCCGGCGACGAGCTGCGCCGTGACCCGCTGCATTACCTCACACCGCCTGCTCCTGGACACACAGACAGATATTCAGCGTCGGTATTTCCCCGCATGCGGCATGTAACATTAACTGTACCACATTAGCCAGTGTCAGGAGCTAGCAAGCTCGTCTTGATGACATGAAACATGATATCTTTAAGTTAGCCAGTATGCTAACAGTACCGGCAGTGGCATTTTGCACATACACACGGAAAATGTCAGTCCAGTCATAAACAATTATTGTAATTTCACGGTGACAAAGTCACGACATATCACCTCTGTATTCATTGGCCAAAGAATAAAAGACGACGAGAAATTAGCAGTGAATAACGTTGGTTATTTAGCTAGGCTAGCTTGCTAGCTAACCTACCTGTCTAACCAGAAATTCTTGGTGAATGAGCCCGGCAAATCTTACCTTCCCCTGCCACAAATATCTCCAACCTGGATTTTTCCAAAGTATAGGCGTGTCTCTGCTTGTCCTGTGAAGCTGAGTGCCTACAATCTACACTGTGCGATAACTTCACCTAGTGCAGATATTGTTAGTTGCTGCTGACTACAGCCTCCTACACTGACTTTCATTCAATGTGTGCATCCAAATGACCATTTGCTCTGCTGCTAGCTGCAGCTGCTGGCAGTTTGCGGAGGGCGGAGCAACGCTACCTAACTACACTTCAAATGACTGACAAGTACTTCGTCTAATCACTTTACTCCGCCGCTTAAAGGTTTCCCGGACCATCAAACACATTTTGTATAACACAAACCAATCACACAATTCTTTGTTTAAACACAAAAAACACAGCTATTAATTCACTTTTAGAAGAATATGATAGAAAATTACTTTTTGAGGGCTGGAACAATTATGCACCCTTAATAGAAACAGGCAAGACTTGTCGTGCGTCTTTTTTCCACGTCAAGTGAGGGATTTCAGCTTGAAAGCCCCGAGTTTAGCCTTAAAGGCAACATAGCGCAGAAGAGTCTTTAGAAGAGTTTTAGGAAGTGACTATGAGGCATAAAAATATTTTAAAACTTCTAAACTCTAATGAAACTATCATTGTGGACTTCACAGCGTGTGAAGTGCTGTATTTTTCAATACTTGCTTAGGATTAAAGCTTTTTTTTGCCCGTCGGTTTAACCATCAGTCTCTTCAAAAAAGCCGCTCGAGGGAAGGCTGTTAAGAAATCTGACAGCTCTACTCACTCTGTAAAAACAAAGGGGAAAAAATATTCAACGCTGTACTTCCAGTATTTTGTTTTTTCTTTTAAATACAATGAACTGAACTATCTAGTCATACAGCATGCAGCACGTGTTCTTTAAGAAGAAGTACCGCCTCCTGTTTTTCCGGTATGGTAGGGTCTCGGCCAATTGGGAAAGTCCAACGCAACGCGCATCCAGGAGAGCCCTATGCGCGAACACGGGGCACCTGAGATTTGACCAGAAAGAGATGAATGAAGATAGTTGCTATGGCAACGGCCAACCGCCACGGATGACAGGTGTTTTACGACTGCCCTTTTCCCTTTTTAACTTGCTAAATATCCTTTCTTCTTAAAGTAAAGCCTAATAAAAAGAAATAGTTTAGTGCAGCTGTTTCTCTGTTTGAACCAGTACTGACTGTAGTGTTACGGCGGCACACGCCTACAGAGACATAGTGTTTCCACGAAGCACATTGGCTTGTTGCTGCTTTACAGACATTTAGGGCTCGGCTACATCTTTTTCTCCAGAAGACAAACAACCCAGAGGCAGCACGTGATAGTGCAGCTATGTCGTGGGTGTTGCAGTGCCCGCCTCAGTGTTTGGTTGTTTGTGCATGAAAACTTCATCTTGCACTGAAAATGTAGGCAAAGCATTAAAACAGACGTGTTCTTTAACTTTGTTGGTTGCTGCACATAGTTTTGTCAGAGTACTCTGAATATGGTCAGTTTCTGAATAGTCTTACCTGTGAATTTTAATAAAGAGATTATAAAAGCAAATGTATGTATGTTTGTTTTATGGAAAATTATTAATTTGCATGTACTTGTCAAACATATTCTCAATAACGAAACTGATAAAAGTTCACACAGGAAGAAGGCACAGTTAACCTCACCCACCTTCACCCACCACTCCTTGCATCCTCACTGTTACACCAGAGCATACCTCCAGTTCTCCAGGCTCTGTTGCACCTGTCCCCTCCTCTCACTACAGATCACAATGTCGTCTGCAAACATCATAGTCATAAAGACTGCTGCCTGACCTCATCTATCAGCCTGTCCATCACCACTGCAAACAAGAAGGGGCTCCCTGATTGATCCCTGATGTAATCCCACCCCCTTCTTGAACCTTTCTGTCACACCTACCGCACACCTCACCATTGCCTCACTCTGCTACTCCTCACTTCCTCATGCAGTACCACAGTTCCTCTCTTAGTACCCTGTCATATGCTTTTTCTAGAACCGTAGATGACATTTGATGATTGTACAATAATATCAAAAGCTAGCAGACTCACAGACATGCCCAGTACAGTATAACAGTCTTGAGCTACCTCTTTGGTTTTAAGCAAGCCTTATTGGAAACACCTTCCATTTTTAGCATGAAAATGATCCCCAAAACACTGTCAATGCACTAAAAGCATGTCTAGATAGAAAAACACACAACGTTACATTATCAGTCATGGATTAGGCCTCCCCAGAGCCTGGACCTCAACGTTACAGAAACATCTTGAATGGAACAAAAGGCAGAAACATCTAAAGAAGAGCATTGAATGTCCTCCAAAAAGCTTGGAGAACTATTCTTGAAGACAACTTTAAGAAATTACAAGAAAACTTGGCAGAGGGAGTTCAGGCTGTGTTAAAGAACAACATTTGGTCTCACCAAATGTTGACTTTCAAGCTCTTCAGAACTGCACAAGCTCTGTTTTTGTCTTTTATACCGACTGCATTCCCACGCATGTTTGCACTTATTTAAATAAACCGCTGCATCTGTTTGCCGCGTTCCTCGCAAAATATAAAGAAATCAGGATTGGCTTGTGATTTTTGAATACTGCTATATGAATGACAAATATTATAAGGAGGGTGGAGATTTGTCCTCAGGACATGCAGTAACAGCAGTCTCACAATCATTCTTAAAATGAATGCATTATAGAAAAACAAACAAAAGGTCCACACTGAAATAATCTGTTGTCATGTTTTCATTTTGATCGAAATATCAAACTAAAGACAGCAACATATTTTCCTTGGCAACATCACCACAATAAAAGGGGCTCAAATGTAAACACCTTTTATTCTTCTACAGTTAACTTGGCGGCTATTTTGTTTACTTTGTTAGACAGGATTGCAAATGTGCATACTGAATGTAATAAATGTCTTTGGCATGCATAGGATTTTCTTTTGACAGCACTGACGTGTGGAGCATTACCACAAATACAATCATTGAGACACCGACAGACAGTACATTTACAACGTTATCACATCCACTGTAAATACGCTTCACATACGTTATTTCTACTGTGTAATCCCAGACAGGGCAAGGTGTTTCTTAAAAGAGAAAAACAATCTTGACATTGGCAGGATAGTGTCAGTTTGGCTCCACGGATTTAAAAGCTGTGCATCTTGTTCTTCTATTAATATTTCACCTGCCCTTCATCCCAGACAAGTGAATAACATACATGAAAAGTATTTATATTCAGCAGCTCATTATCATCAGTCTACTGAACTGCATGTCACACGGTGGTGCATTTTATCAGACTTTAACTGGCACAGTGAAAAACCACAGATGGTCACACAGTTAGGATACACAGTTAGGATATTGCCACCACATGGTTTCCTCGGTGGAGCACCAATGTCACACAAAGGTCGTTCTGGTTACAGTTTCTAATATAACACATACTGGGTGAATATATAGTGGAATTTTCAACAGTACAGTGACCTTTAACATCTTTTCTACAAACATTCGGCCTCTCATTCTGACGGCGTTGTACATCAAAGGTGACATTTTGTGAGACGCGTAATTAGACCACGTAAAGACTAAGACACCAGCGATTTATCCACAGAGGAAGTTATTAGTGTTAATTAAAGTGCAAAAAAAAAACAACCCAAACATAAAGTAGGTAATCATCAGCTAGGCTACAGCGAATTCTGCCTCAGTTGAACTGGAGACTTTTCAGGAAGAACACTTATTGACTGAAAGCGTGAGGTGACGCCTTCACTCCGTAACATTCAAAGTAGTTTTATTTTCCAGTGTCATTCAGAGTTGGATGGCTCAGAAGTTCTCAGTATGTCGTCTTGTTGTAGTTAGTCTAGTGTGGAGAAGGACGTAGCTTCACATTCAGGACCGATCATTTTAATGATCTCAGCGAGACATCATCCGTACAAACTCTGAAAGGAGAGAAGAAAGAGCACGAAACTGCAACTGCAGCTCAGCCACACTCTACGCTACACCTTAAACAGGTTGTCTGAAAAGGACGTTTTACCTTCAAAGTCGACAAGTCCGTCCCCATTCAAGTCCACATCCCTTAGGATGTCTTCTACTTCCTTCAGACCAACCTGAAAAACCAAAACCACACAGGATGGTAGCAGTGAGTAAAGCACAACAAAAAACGTCTATTTCATTAATGATAACTCTCTCGCTCTGAGCTGAACCTTACTTGTTGTCCCAACAGTTTTCTCATTGCGTCTCTGAGCTCCGACGTGCTTATGGCACCATCTCCATTAGTGTCGAACTGAAAACAACAAGCCGAGGTTCAGTATTGAAAACAGAAAAGTAGCTAATAAAACCACTTGAATCCAGACAGTCTCACCTCCCTAAACGCGTCTTTTAGCTCCTTTATTCCAATCATGTCCGCAGTTTCGGCGAGGAGTTTTGGGCCCATCAGCTCTACGAAATCCTCAAAATCAACATGACCTCCCACTTAAAAAAAAGAGAGGATTTGGTACAAATTTCAAACCTCAAAAGACACAGAGGATATGGTTATATGTGTGATGTGTATAGATGACAGCTTGTCCTTACAGTTCATGTTGATCTGTTGGCTTAGTTCTATCAGCTCCATTTCAGTTGGCATGTATCCCATGGTCCTCATGCAGTTTCCGAGATCTTTGCAGCTGATGAAACCGTCCTTGTCTTTGTCAAACTCTTTGAAAGCATCTCGGAGCTCTGTTATAAAAATAGTAACAGAAATCGTATTAGTAATTGAATTATATTGATCCCTAGATGGTATATATAAAAGATGGCTGTAGATGTACAAGTATAGAGCAAGTGGAAGGGCAAAATTGCCTTAATTATCCATTCTTACAAATGACCAGAACGGGGTGACTAATTTGATTGCACTTGATTTATGACCCCAGTAAACATGTTCCTTTTTTCAAAAATCCTAGTTTTGGGTCTCATTTATTACACCAGGATGTTCATTTAGTAAATTGTTGTCTCATTAGAAATTAGATAATAGCTAATAAATCAAAGTACGATGTGGCGTGTTCTTGTTTTTGCTCAAAAACACCAGTCGCTCCTCACATATGGTTCAAAAAAGCAAAAAGTAATAATAGTCAAAATATTGAACTCAGAGCATGAATACAGTTCACCCTGCCATCCTCAGAATCAGGTTAAAGTTCTGCCAAAACGAAGAAGAAGCGAACATGATCCAGAACACGTCTCTCTACTTTTAGCTACAAGTCATTTACACTGACTGAGGCAAAGTATGAGACAAATCAAAATTTATAATCCTTTTTGGATAACATGGATGCTGCATAGTCTGGACTGAAGAAGTCGGGGACCATCCAGCTTGTTATCAGCACCCAGTTTAAAAGCCTGCATCTCTGACGTATGCAGGAGCCTATAGAATTTGCAACTTGCACACCTGGAAGCGCACTGTCAATGCTGAAAGGTATATATGAGTTTTAGATCAGCAAATGGTCCAGGCATCGTCTGAATGGGATGACCTCACATATTTAAAAAATATTGGAAACATTGCAAAAGGGAAAATATGACGAAGAAGAGCCAGGACTGTTTAGCAGCTAGAATCACATATCAGACAAGAATGGGACAACATTCCTTTCCCAAAGGTCCAGCAGCTGGTCTCCTCACTTCGCAGACATTTACAGAGTGTTGTTAAAAGTAGAGGGGATGCGACATAGTGGTAAACATGGCATTGTCCCAACTTTTTTGAGATGTGTTGCTGCTATTAAATTTAAAATGAGTTCATATTTTTTCTTAAAATGATCCATTTCCTCAGTTTAAACATTTGACATGTTTTCCATGTTCTGTTGTGAATATAATATTTGTTTATTAGATGTGCATTTTGTTTTTATTTACATTTTTGCACAGCAGACTGGGGTTGTAGCATCTGTGCATTGATCTGTACTCTAGCCCTTTCATTTGCACGTTGTTTCCATTTACAAATCCTGGTATTTTTAGACTTATGTTATGAAGGATTTGAATAATTTGTTTCATCTTTTCACTCTCTGTTTTGTTTATCTTAATGGCCTCAGCAAAGAAAGAAAGTGACAGCATTAAGTAAAGGGAAACTTACCATCCATCTCTTCTGGCCTCAGCTCTCTGTCCTGTTGAGAAAAAACAGCACAAAATCAAAATTACAATCCGCGAAGAAAACATTCATCATCATCATCATCATCATATCAAATATTCTTCTGCATATGTGCTCTATGTAGACATACTGATGACAATGCTGTGACTTGAGTGACGCCTGACTCTAAATCAGCAGTATTTTCCATAACAGTCCGCAGACGCCAAGTAAACTTCAGCTAAAGTAAAGATGTAAGAGCAGATTGGAAACGATCTCATGTCGTGATGACCAAACTTCTGGCATAAATAGGCCAATTCCTATAAAGCATAGCTGGGAATAAAGATTCTGGAGATCATAGAAGAATGTGACTGTTTCTATTTTTTTCCTGCTTACTTACAATGGCTTACAATAAGTGCAACCTTTAAAGGACAGAGAAAGAGGCAGACATGTCCCAGAGTCCTCAGGGGTTAACAGCAGGAGTCGTGTGAAGTCTAAACACAACACTGAGGGCTGACATTGGGCCCGAAGAGCTCTCAGATGGGAAAAAACTGACATAGAAAACAAAGAAGAAATATGAGCCCAGAGGACCAGCCAACCCAACATGAATGCACGTGCAGTCCACGAGCAAAGCCTGTGTCAATCAGTCACTGCTAATACATCAACCATTATCGGTTATCCAATATACTTATGCTACAGAAAAAGCTGCACGTCTTTGCAGCGCAACACATCAGAGCAAAACGTTTCAAAGACGCTTGTTTGTTTTATGCAAATCACCATCGCGATCAGTCACCACAGTGCAGACAGGAAAATACATGAGCTGTGGATTTTGTGTGTTCTTACAGGAATAGGTTGACATTTAAGGCAATAAAAACTTTTTGCCTTTCTTGCCAAGAGATAAATTACAATGACATCATTCTCATGTCTGTGTGATAAATATGTTGACTCAGGGGGGAAACAGCTAGCCTCAATCTGTCTGAAAGTAGCAAAATCCACCTATCACCCTCTAAAACTCACAAACTAACATATCACACCCTTTTCTTTACAGTGTGTTGAAGTGCACTTGCTGCTCTAGCAATAGTATAGCAAATAACCTCTCTAAAAGGGGACCTATTATGTTTATTCCAGCTCTATTTGTTTGTTGGACTCAGCTGGAGTGGTTGTGAATAATTCAGTTAAAAAAAAACCTTGTTTATCTCAGAAAAAGAGTTTTTACAGCAGTCTGAAGCCTGAGGTTTTAGCCACAAGGATTACTTCTACACACACTGTTCAACACCTTGTTAACACAGACATCTAATCAGCCAACCACAAGGTTGTTTGTACCAGAGGTTGATCTGGGTATTTTAGAAACAGCTGATCTGCTGGGATTTTCCCCACACAACTGTGTTTTATGTGGTTCGCTTTATAGATACTGGTCTGAAAAAGAGAAAATATGCAGTAAGCAGTAGTTCTCTGGATGAAAACACCTTATTGATTACACAGGCCAGAGGAGAATCGCCAGACTGCTTCAAGCTGATAGGAAGGCGACAAAAACTCAAATAAAAACTTGTTATAACCAAGCTATGCAGAAGAGCATCTCTGAATGCACATGAAGAAGACCACACTGGGGGCCACTCAGGTCAGCTTAGAACAGGAAACTGAGGGTACAGTTTACACAGACTCACCAAAATTGTGCAACAGAAGACTGGAAAAACCGTGCCTGACATGATGGGCCATGATTTCTGCTGTGAAATTTAGATAGTAGGATCAGAATTTGGCCTAAACAACATGGATGAAAGCATGGATCCATCCTACGTTGTATTAAAGGTTCAGGCTGGTGGTGTAATGGTGTAAGGAATTTGAATATATTAATGTATTTTCTTGGCTCACTTTTGGGTCTTTTGGGACCAAATGAGCATATAATCACCACAGCCTACCTGAGTATTGCCCATTGTGCCCATTTTCTGATGGCTGCTTCCAGCAGGTAACACACCATACCAAAAAGCTCAAATCATGTCAAACTGGTTTATTGAACATGAACATGAGTTTACTGTAGTCAGATAGCCTCCTCAGACACCAGATATCAATCCATAAGAGCACTATTAGGATGTGGAGAAACAGGAGACTCTCATCACGGATGTGCGACTGACAAATCTTCAGCAACTGTGTGATGTTCTCATCTTAATATGGATCAAAATCTCTGACTTCCCCACACCTTGATGAATCTGTGCCATAAAGAATTAAATCAGTTCTGACTCAAAAGTGAGTCCAACTTGAACTAGCAATGTGTACACTACATATACACATTATCCATCTATTTTCTTCTGCTCATCAAATTCACAGTTGTAGGGGCTGAGGCTCATCCCAGCTGTCACAGGGCAAGAGGCAGGATACACCCTAACCCTGGACGGATTGGCAGACTGCTGCAAGAATAACACATAGAGATAAACAACCAATTACATCTACAGTCACTTTAGAATCAACAATTAACTGAACCTCATTCGTGCTTTTGGACTGTGGGAGAAAGCTAGAGTACCTAGAGAAAATATACAAACTCCACACAGAAAGACCCCAAGCTGGATTCAAACCCACAACCCTCTTTTTATGAGGTAACAGCGCCAGCCACCATGCCACCTCTATACACTATACTGCAAAAATGGAAAAGCATAATAGGTCCCCTTTAAAACCACAACATGTCGCCAGCCCCCTTTTTAATACTTTTTTATATGGATCGAGTAAACAAACTGCAGCACGTTAATTAATAGAAGCTTAAGCTGTGCTGGGAGGCGTATGCTGTTATCTTTGGACAGGAACAGGCTTGATGTTTGCCCTTCTTTTTAAATCTTGGCACTAAGCTAACTAATCCAGCTCCAGCTACACATTAACCTGACAAGCGGAGCAGTATGTCAGAATGCTGCTGTAATATTTTGTGCACTCGCTGCACAAACATGCAGATTTTTGATGTTAAAGCGAGAACAAGAGAGACAGAGAAAAGGTGTGTCTGCATTGCTACAGCTGGTTGTCCACGTGTGACACGTTTGGACTGTTGTTGGGTTACATGCATTGCATTTAATCTTTCTGACCTTCTTCTTCACCAGTGAATTCCAAGCTTATAGCTGAAAATGATGTACAATTAAGTTGCAGCTTCTTTAATAATTGCAGAAATGACAGCTTCTCTGACAGGAAGGAGTCATTAAAGAGAATTTTTGTCCAGACTTACGTACAGCCTGCCTGCACTTTGCCATGCCTTTACTCAGGAAGACACAGGATTGTCCCAGTATGTTGCTCACGAGAACGCAGTTTTGTGTCACCGAAACAATGGAGTCCTGATAAGACCCAAGATACCCAGACTGGCCCATCTCCTCACAGGACAGCACCACTCTGACTCTCCGCTCAGCATCCTGGAGCATCTTTCCAGAGGGGTGCAGGGACACAGCAGAATGGAACAAAGATACAAGTTGAGAGGGGAATCGTGAGCTCTTATGAGAAAGTCACTATAGACCTCCTGTATACTTTGAGGGATGACACAGCTGAGCTTTGCAGAGTAGAATAATACTATCTAAGAATTATATATCAGTGCCTGTGTGTGTGTGTGTGTGTGTGGTGGTGGTGGTGGGGTGCAAGTGTGTATGCAATAGAAACAATGTGGAAAATATGAAGACACGACTGAAAGGTAAATACATCAATAAACCAGCATGCTGCCAACTTTCCACTCATCGTTCATAACAGTTTACTCGCCACATTTTACGGACTGGCACCTCACACCTATACAGTGTCACTGGAACAGTAAACACACACACAGAAGCAGAGAAAAGGCAAGTGAAAGCACCGGGGAAGAGGTTACACATATACTGATCACAGACAGACATCACGACATCATGTCTTCTACAGGAAAGCAGTTCTGGATGGTAACAAAGATCTGCAAGTTTCTGAAACCATCAACCTGACTTGAGTTTAACAAACTATACTCCAGAGCAAGGTTACAAAGCAGTGCAGTGCACGCACATCTGCAGAATTAAACATCAAACTCTGTTCTTTTTTCTTTCTTTTGTTTTTTCTGTGTGTGTGTGTGGAGGAGGGGGGCTAAAATGAGTATGCATCTAATTAATAATTAGGTGCATGCTTCTTGCACTACCATGAGCTTTTGCAATAAAATAAACAGAAACAACTGCAGAAAACTATGCACCACCTATGCAGCAGTACAGTCTGCTTCCAAGTTGCAAGTGCTACTGTAGCTAGTACAAGAGCTATGAAGGAAGCTGAGAAAGGCAGAGTGCAGCAGCACGGGCTTACCGTTCTCAGAGGCCAGTCTAAGCAGTTTCCCATACCAAAGGAAAGAAGAGGCACCGAAAAGGACCATGAGGGCCTTCTCTCCGTTAAGCTTGCACTCTGGGTTCTGAGAGGAGTGTAAACTCTGGTTTCAACAAGACCCATGAAGCCCGGGCTTCTAACCTGTTCCTACAGCCGAATGAGAAACTGTGAAGGATGCTGTTCTGGACTGTGGAGTGTAGCAAAAGCAAGACCAGCAATGATATGGAAAGAGTGAGAGAGAGTTGTGGGGGTAGGGGTAGAACATAAACGAGGGCGGGAAGTGGATGGACCAAAGAAGGAAACAGAATTATGCAAGGAAAAGAAGACATGTGAGCAATATTTCACCTGACTGTCACACTAACCAGACTACTATAAACAGCACAGACAGCTCCAAACAGATTAACAGACCTCCAAACACGAGAATAAATGAGAGAAATGGCGTAAACTTTCCTACAGCAAAACACAACAAAGCATTAACAAATGTAAAGTAAACCTTTACGTCATGGGTTGCATGCACCCTGGGAGGGTTTTGGAAAATCTGTAGCAGGCAAGTTTGGAGGAACATTCTGTGATGACCTATTTACAGCTTTGTTTTCCTCCTCGGATGAACTCTCGCTCCAGAACATTTTGTCAATGTCCAGCCTTCAGATTGCATTTGAATTCATTTATGGCCTTTTTATATTTTATGAATTTTGATTTTTTTTTTCTTTCTCTGCCTTCCACCCACCCACACACACACCCCCACACACACCCACACATCATCCTTTGCCCTCTGCAGGCTAGAGGAAGGTCATGCTGACCTACAGCAGCCACATGGAAGAGACACATATAGAAAGACTGTGAGTGGCAGGAATACTGTCAACATGTAGTCCAGCCATTGCAGTGAAATGTTTATATATATATACATGTGTAAGTGTTCATTTTCATGTGTGTTTCTCTTCTGTGCTGCAATCAGTGCAATGTAAATCCTGCTTACTTTGTATGTACTACCAGAGGCACCATGTGTTGGTATTGCTCAAACCATGCGTTACATCTCTGCCCATCATTGCTTCTGTAGCTGTCTCATCAAAGCCCCCTTTCAGGTCATGCTAATGTTTTCATAGAACTGCTCACAGACTGACTCACGGGTTATTTGTAGAAATGGCTTTTGTACTACAAAGCAATAGAAAATGTTTCTCTGGAAGCCACAAAGGTTGATCTCCATGTTCCGGTGCTGAGCTTATTTTACGACTGAGATCGGCCTATTTTGGCAACGTATGTAAATCACTCCCTGATTCATAATCTGACTAAAACCCAAACACTATAAAAGCAGCAAATAAACTCTTGGCCTTTGTGGAAGAGAAAGAAGAGGAAAATGTCCTCAGTAAACATCATTACCAGCAGTTTAAGCAGCAAGCTGGAGCTTGGTTCGGATTTTTCAGTGTAAAATGAAACCTGGCTGCTTTTATACATACCCCCCCCCAACACACACACACACACACACACACACACACACACACACACACACCAAAATGAGCAAAAGTGCAGCACTGATAAAAATCCAAGCACATTAGGCTGAACTCCTTTCTTCTGTATAAATAGATTTGTCGCCCAAAATAGAAGCTAGAAGCCCCCTCATCATCAGCAGGAACATCAATTTTATTTCCTTCAGTCACAAAACAGAAAACGCAGCAGTGTGCCTGACAGACTGATGCTGGAACATGAATGAGTTCCCTCCCCCCTATTTTTTCCTTTGAACAAATACACATTAACACATGTGAGATTTTCACCTCTCTGATGTTGGACCATACAGGACTGAGCAAACCTGTAGGAGGAAGAACTGTAAAATTATATAAGAAATGAGATGTTTAGACGAAGCTTTTTCTTGTACGTCCAGCAGTGTCAGTGTTTGCTGACAGCATCACAGGACACACACAGGACTCAAGGGAAGCCACATGTACACTTCACTGCTTCATATCTGTGTGCACCTCATGCATAAAAATATACTAACAACAAGGCGGCCTTCAGCAGAGAAGCCTCAGAAATCAATGCAGATATAGTCTTTTTTTTAAAAAAAAGGTTTCTAGTAGGGTTAAAAAAAAAGAATAATCATTTTCATACAAGTTATGGAAATGGGGTGTCACTGTCACAGCGTGTAAAATGAAATTTACCCAGCTGTTGTGTTCTAACTGAGACCACACTACTGCTTTAATTCTCCCGTATATTTCAGGGCCTTACCTGCCCAAAGAGTGAATTGAGGATGGTGCGTAAATTAATATCTGATGCAGAAGAAGCAGCGCTGGACCTCCGTGAGCGACGAGAAGACCTGCTGGACAGCGGGACCAGGGAGTAAGAGGACGGGGATGGACTGCTGACCTGACCGCCGCTGTTGGCCGCACTGGCCCCGTTGCGGTCCCTCGGCTCGCAGAGGGGAACCCTGTCGTCATTGCTGTCCGACAGAGAGGGCACCCTGGGGACCGCGCGGGAGTGCGTGTGACAGCGACGGGGATGCTCCGGTTCGTCCGGTCCCGCTGCTGCCGGACGCTCCTCTCGGTTGTGCTTCCTGCGGTGGTGGTGACGGTGTTTTGATGTCCTGGAGCGCTCCCTCACACTTCGGCCTGCATCTCCGTTCGGCTCCGGCGGAGCGGAAACTTGGCTGTGAGGAGCATGTGACTTGCACTTGCCCCGAGTGGCTGCATTATTACTACTGTCCTGGCTGCCGACGAGGGAGGGATGGCACAGGGGTCTCCGGGCACTGACGTCGCACTCGGCCGACCAGAAGGATTCCTCGGCTTTGCTGCTGCTGCTCAGAAGCGCGGCGGGACGCTGGTTGTGATGCTGATGGTGGTGCTGATGGTGGTGCTGACTTCTCTGGCTTTCTGCCGTGTGCTCTGGGAGGTGTGTCGGTCTCCTCGCGGCCGAAGACGATTTCAGTAAGGAGGTCGTGGAATCAGATTTTGGAAAGGGGGTGCTCATCGCGGCGAATCTGGTCCGGTCTCTGTGTGCGGGCTGCTCATCGACACCATTTGCCGTTTTCTCTCCATTGTCGACACATATTCTCCCGCAGAGCCCGCTCGCTTCAAGTTGAGCTACCACCTGATTGCTGTGCGGCAGCGGTGCCGGAGCGCGCACAGACAGTGGAATAGAGGCTGCAGAGCGCGTCACCTTCTCATTGATGTGAATGTCTGTTTGTGTGACATCGGCTGTGATGTAGGTGAGGATGGTAGTATCCCAAGACAACACGGTGCTCTAGTTTTCAGTGAGAAAATAACAGATACTAATCTGCTCCTTAAATTTGAATTCAAAGACTCTAAAAATAATAACGTGAACCACAACAGGTGGAGAATAAATATCACAGGAGCTTTAATTGATGACAGAACTACGCATTTGGATAATATTTACCTAAAACTGAGAAAGTGGCTATTCTGCACCATCAGGGGCGTGGCTAGAGCGGGTGTGGTTCAAATTTGTTTTTGGCCAGCATCCTCGAAAATTATGTAATGGTCAAGGTGGTGGGAGGGGGTGTCGGGATCTGGATGCACCTCGTCCTAAATATAAAACTTTAAACCCTATAAAAAGTTATGTTGCTAATGTTTTATTAATGTAAACTGCCCAAACAAACAATCAACAGAGGAAGAAGGAATAAAAAGAAAGCATTATTATGCACTGTAAGCTCTTATGTAAAACAAAAGACTATTCAAGTTTTGAAAATTGAACTCCCCCGCACATGTCTCACAGTGGTTTGCGCCGTTTTCTAACTGTTTTACTCTGAAAAGTTGAGTGTTAGACAAAGGAAGTGTGAGCCCCTACACTTTCTGCCACATAGACAGATAAACATATTTACACATTTCGATATGGATTTAGATTGTCTTCCTGTTGCGTCATTGTGACCACCAAAAGGAACTCATTGCAATAAAGTAGCATTTTTATAGCATTGTTCTAGAGTTACTGACCAATCACAGGAGTTTGTACTGCAAGCCAGATTTAACCTTACTGATACAATGTTATATACTATATAAACTTTAGGTACTTTGTTTATCTCATTATGGGAAAAGCATGGACTGTGGGAGGAAGCAGATTACCCACAGGAAACTCATGGAGGAAGAACATGCAAACTTCACAGAGAGAGGCCCCAGCCAGGTCTCAAACCAGGAACTTCACTGCAGTGAGTGACAGTAGCTGGCAGGGGTTAGCACACTTTACTCACAGCAAGAAGGGAAGGTTCCTGGTTTGAATTATAAGATTTTTTGTATGTTTTTGCACTTACCTGCTTATTACTGAATTTTTCTTTGACTTAGTGACATCAGTGCAGTGCATATATCTTTTATCCACTGATAATCCTTGTTTGTATATATGTTGCTTACATTTCAATAACTATATAATCTTAAAGGTGGTCTAACCTTCCACCAACATCAACTATTACTGCACAGACTACTATGATAATGTTGTGCCTATGAAGGGTGCAGCTTAGACAACCACTGTGTTTCCTGTTCTGTGGCATTGGCATCAGGCCTTGAACAATCAGAGCTATAAAGCCCACGTATGGAAACACGAATGAAACTTTAGAGAGGTACTACAAATACAAACCACACTGATCTACCGTGTTGTGCAAAAGTCTTGAGCTATCACTCATTTCTTTATATTTTGCCAGGAGAAGGGGAAATAGGTGGAGTATTTAATTGAAATGTGTGCAAATATACATATAAATACAGTATATAAGGCAAAAGTAGGATTTGTACAATTCTAACAAGCTTGAAAGTCAGTATTTGGTATGACCGCCTTTATTTGTTAACTCAGCCTGAACTCTCTTCTTGTCATGTCTTTAGGTGGTCTTCAAGAAAATACATGGGAAATCGGAAGAAATTGTGTTTTTGTGACAGACTGCTAGTAATAAAGTGGCTGTTTGCTAAGCTGTCTGTTATACTTGAGTTATGTGCCTCTCTGGTCAGAAACAAGCACTGTACTGAAAATGAGTGAAAAAGCAGCCAATGTCCAAAGAAAAACTTTGAATGACCTTCAGAAAGCCTGGACCACTTTAAAAATTACACGAAAGTTTGGCTGCTTAGAAACAAAAAATATAGACATGAGAGATGGCTCAAGACTTTTGGACAGCACTGTATAGGAGACACACAATTTTTTTCATTTGACATTTTTGCATTGTGGCACAGTGTTTCTGACTTGACATCATATATAAGTAACAAGTTTGAAAGGAAATAACTGTCACAAGCAGAAACCGGAGCAGTGACAACATTGTTGCACTGGCATGCCTCCTTGTGCCAAAAGTATAAAACTGCATCTAGATGACAACAGGGAACAAACTCTTGCTTTATGTTGTGCAAGTAAAAAACCATAAGACTTTGTCCTTCACACAAGTTTTCTCTAGCAAATTGAAGCCTACCTCCGACTCACATCTGTAACTCCTGCGTGCAAGTGAGAATTCAGACACCAGCTGGTTAAATAAGATACTCGACCATTTATTAAATGTACAGAAATACTGTTCAAAATTCACACAAGAAGGTGTCAAAGAACAAATCCTCAGTCCAAATGTAAACAAAACGGTTGCCCCATCATCATGTAGAAAGCTTTAGGAATGACAGTTTTCATTCTCTAAGATGGATTAACAGCGCTCATGATTCGAACCCAATCACTGACAGCTGAGCGTCAGCGTCATCCGATGCCGTCGACAGCTCGGAAATGATCACGCCTTTGTAAACATTAGAACTGATGGGTACCTTGAATTGCAGTGGACTAGTAAAGCTGCTGAAGACTCATTTTCACTAGCTTTTAGACTGTGCACATATATCCATCAAGTGCTGTTAAAGAGTTAAGACTGTGGCCTTGAGAATAGATACAGTGCTGCAAAATTACAGTGATTGAAAGAAAAGGGAAATATAAACCCATCACAGAACATCAGAGCTTTACTTTATAAACATTTTACAGAATATACTAATTTAATCTATCAAAATGACCTCATGGATGGCTCTTTGAAGTGGACAATGAAATGCAATCACTTTAGCTAGAAATCAGGACAACACAAAAGTCTGAAGCATCGAAGACAATTGTTTAAAAAAGAACAAACATCTGAGACCATTCAATTTTTTTTAGCTTTTTGTGTTTTTTGTTTGTTTGTTTTTTACCTCAACCTTATTTACAGAAATACAAACCTCATATCAAATGCAACCAAATTACAAGAGTTTAGTAAATTTACCAAAAACACTTCATCTCCAGTGGTACGGCACGGGTCGACTCACACACTCGGATCTAAAAATGTGCTTGCCTAACCATGTCTTGTGAAAGCGGGGGGATGTTTCCAAAGGGGAGCACGACTGACTAGCACACCGGCAGGAGCTGGGACAGAGACATTAGCTGCGTCTGTAAACATTCACGTCATGATCGGCATTGGACCTCAGTTAGCAAACCACACATGGATGTATCTGTTCGCCTTACTGCTGACAAGCAAAGACAACATTCCTCTGTAGCTGCTCTAACACTGTTACAGCTCTATCTGCGATCCATTTCTATTTCCGTATCTACGTAACGGCTGCCAGTTGGGTCGGAATACTACAGAAATCCAACACGGCACCCAGCTCCAAATTAGATTTCCAGAAGGATCCTGCACTGCTTATTAAATCATTTTGTACAAATGGCCGAATCTGTCTTGATGTGCATATCACAACAGTTGGCACAGCACGCCAACAAACACCGGAGCCTTTTCTTCACCTTTACTCCATCACTAACCATGTGGTGGTTTCATATAAATTATTACAATCAATAACAATATGTTAACATTCAATAAAAAGGAAAAAGTGTGTCCTGTATGTTACTATAAATGAAACCCTCTGACAGCTGAGCTGGGAATATGGCTGAATGATAAAAAGCAGAATTATCAAATCTCCCCCAGCAGAACTTCAAGCTTTTCTGAAACATACCCCCTTTATTAGATTCATCAGGTCGGATCCCCCCTTTGCCTTTCATCGTAGCACAGATTCAACAAGGTGCTCTCAGAGAATTTGGTCCATATTGACATGATAGCATCACACTGTTGCTGCAGATTTGGCACGTCCATGACTCCTCTCTTGTTTCTCTACATCCCAGAGGTGTTCTTTTGGATTGAGCTCTGGTGAATGTGGAGGTCATTTGAGTACAGTGAACCTAGAGTTTCTAAAATCCTCACACTAGCCTTTCTGGCACGCAACAAACATGACACTTTCAATTTATTAAATCACCTTTCTTTCCATTCTGAAGCTCAGTTTGAACACACAGAGGCTGCCTCGATTATGCCATGCGAGTGGCTAATATGATCTGGGTTCATGAGCAAATGAATAGGTGTACCTAATAAACTGGACAGTGAGTGTACACTACACTATATATAAAAAACCGGTATTGCCAAAATAAACACAGTCAAAGGTTTAAATAATGAGGCAAAGTTATGGAAAAGTAATCAGTTTAGGGCAGAGGTTCAGCATTCACACAGCTCTAAATGCTTTGCTCCCAAAGGTTTTTTGTACTATTTTGCTCGACTGACATCATCTCGACAAGGTTTTCCTTATTTGGTCACCTTAGGCACAGACAGAACTGTGGCTCTTAAAAATGGCTTGCTTCAAACTAACGGAGTGTGAATCGTAAAAGACAAATAAAGGATGTGTTCAACAATGACACTCTAGCAGTGTTACAGAAAAATATTATGAAGTTAAAAATGAGTTAACAGATGTTGGCTGTCACCAATTGCCTTTCTTAAGGCCTCGAAGGAAGCGAGGGGTCTTTAATTCATGCAGAATGACTTCACTTCTTTGGGACATAACAGGTCAGACTGACTTATGGACCGACGTGTGCTGTGAAAGACTTCCGCGACAGAGTGATGCGTTATTACTTGGCTCACAAAGAGACTTTGCCCCACATTAGCATACTGCTGCTAAAATAAATGTGACGTAAGTAGAAGATAAAATCCCCAAATTTTTGCTGTTCGGTGACGTCATTCATCTGTACTCGAATAAACATTCAGTGATTCAAAATAAAGCAAAACAACAGCAAGAAATGAGCCAAAAGGTCCCTGCTATGGTGTTATTACACATTAATAAAAATGGCTGCGTGCACCTACTAACCTCTATTTAAAAAAACTTTTAAATATGGCTGCATTTTATACAATTAGACAGAGAAAAGGTGTTTGATAAAAGAGGCCCAATGTTTGGTCATGTGCTAAGAGGAGTTAAGAGCAAGACTGCATGAGCTGGAGAATATGTACACAGTGAATGTGAGAGCTGGTCTGGAGGCAGGAAAAACAAGAAGAAAAAAAAAGGGCTGCTTCTCATACTACACACACCTCCCTAAATGCCATCTGTGTCTCACTTGGACACACGGCTTCTCACTCACACCTATTTCCCCTCCCTGTCCTCTAAACGGCCCGGTGTAAAAATGTAGTCCAAAGCCTGTCTCTCAGCGGCGGCCACGTTGGGG